GTCATAGTTTGGTCTTGATTCAGTGAGAAGTTCGTCTAACTGTAACTTGAAGAAATTAGACTTGTAGACACCACTAGCCAGCGCAAGCTCCGCAGAGTGGTCAATTTTTTTGCGTCTAGTCAAACCATCGATACTTGAAGGCTCATCTCTAGCTATGTTTGAGCAATCATTCAAATTTGACGCATTTGATTGCTCAGCTCTCTGGGTTATTTGCGGAGATGGGCTGAGCTTTCTCCTCTTTGCTGTATGAGCCGACATGCCCAAAGATACAGGCTGCAAAAGAGTGAGCGATAAGAAGCGGACTAGCTAGAGAGAGGGAAGGGGGGAAAGGGACGAAGAGGCGCCTCCAGTATTTGCGGATGAAGAAAAGCAAAACTAAATAAATGTCTGGGATACAGTGTGTAATTTTTGATTTTTTTTTTTTCTTAAAACATAACGGCAAGGCTCCGTTATAATCACGTGATATGTAACTTAATCACCATATACGATACACATACAGTTGGGGGTAATTAAACTTTGGATCATCTCGCGATAGTGCAGTGGCATGTGCATCACTGTTAACACCTGGGTAAGAACCAATAACCTGCGATGTAAAGATTTTATACCAACAGACATTTCTTATAACAGTGGGTGGTTGTCTAGAAAATACGGAGTACACTATATCATATTGGAAGTATTCCAATTTCGAAACCCCCCAAAAAATTGTAAGTACAATGTACTGATACAAAAATACCAGTACTGTGACAGTGTACAACTTCATAGTATTACCGGGAACTTAACAAGCACTATACATGGATGAAGGAACATCTTATGTCCAAGAAGGCACATAATATAGCTAAGACAATACTTCTATATATAGATCCTCAATACCATCTCCTCATGTTGATGCTGGAGCATAGTATTTAGGGCATACATCCAGTACCAGGGTAGTGTATCTCCAGTCCGGTCCACTGTATGCAAAAACATGATCATTTAGTAGCGCGCTTTTAAGCTTGACTACTAGTATTCATTAGAAATGATGTACCGGTCTCAGTACAGAGTACAGGCATTTCTATCGTATTACTGGTGTATCGACTTGTCTTATCATAGGCAGTTGCGTTGGATGAGCTGTATATCTTAATTGTAATCTAGTAGTAAAAAATTAAAAACTTGAATAAAAGAATAATTAGGTTCTAAGCTTGGTATCTCTTATATGTAACTGTTTCAATATATGTTTGTAAGATTGTATTACTTAGGCGGTGTACGTCAAGCCATTGCAGCCAACGCGCATTAATTCATTTCTCTATATTTTTCAGGTCTTTTTTGTCCCTTTTCCGTCGCTCTTTCACCGCTTAGCCGACCGCCGTTGATTAGCTAGTACCAAATCTGAATTTTAATTGGTCAATAGCCCATGGTCATGTGACCAAATAATTAGAACCAAGTACTACGTAGTCTAAGCCGACTACACAGACTAAGAAGACTAAGCAGACTAAGTAGTTAAGTAATTCAAGTAGGCTCAGTATAGTAGACTATTCTGCCGGCATAAACAAGTAAAAAATATAGAAAAATGAATTAAAGCACATTGACCGCAATGGCTTGCCGTAGGCGGTGAGCTTCTCTCTGCTTTGAAATTTCCAATATCTAAGAAATATGCCACCAGAGAACAACCAAGTTTCCTAGCGGACGGGGTTCCATCAGAATGGAATGTTATTGGCCAGCTTCTTCTTAGACATCGCCGAAGTCGCTCGTAAGTGGGTATGATTCATACCTTTAATACCTTTAACAGAAGGCTTTCGCGACCATGAAACATTCTTAACGTCTGTTTCTTATATCGTGCTGTTGTTACCTTCTCTTCACAGTTGCCTTAATTATCTGAAAAAAAGACTTTTACCCCTTAATCTTCGATCAACCTCCACGCTCATAATGCTCCAAGACATCGGGGGCCCTGTACCTCCTAATACTGACCATGTATGTTTTACCCCGCGGCCTTTTCCCTACCCCGGCTAGCCTTTGCCGTTCTCAAAATGAAGTACACCATCATAAGTATCCTTATAATATACTCCTCACACCACGATACCTAGGCCTGCGCACAATATGGCTTGTATCACTAATGGAAGCAAAGGCAGTCAGTGTATCACTTCCAACATGGAAAGCCAATGTCGGTTATGAAGAAGGAGAGCCGTGGGTTATAAGTAAGATGCAATGCGGTTACCCTCGATTCTTCGTACACCCGACCATTCAAGAACTTGCGAAAGAGGTCGTGCAATGCTACGGAAATCCAAACACGGAGTCCGCCATGCTGTTTCCTTCCGCCAAAACTGCGCATATTTGTCGTTCATTTATCCTGTCGAGATCACTTGCAGACGTCTCGCATAGCGTGCGTGTTGTAGATTTTATTCCTTCACCACATACAAAAGTCGAGTCAGCACACGTCACTTCGTTCTTGTCAAGTGTGATATATCCAAAGGAACTTGGATCAGTTGCAAAGCAAGTATGGCAGCATACGGGCAATGGTGTGTCAAGCCGTCGAGGTGAATTCTGTCACAGTGCATTGAGAGACGGTTTCCTTGTGGAAAAGAAATCTACTACGACAGAACCTGTAGCCCAGCGGATATGTAAGGGCCCGCGAAGATATCAGGGAAAAGACACAGTAAATAGTGCTTTCCGGGCAGGTGGGGCACATCCCTCACCGACAGAGTCGCCGATGGCCACGGATGGTGTTCGGGATGGGCGAGAACACATCCAATTCATCGAAGAGCGTTTTGGCCGGAACTTGAATACTTCCCTAGCGGACCAAGCAAAAAGAGCTGTGCGCAGACGCATAGCAGGTGTCCTAAAAGCGGATGTGGAATTGAGTGAGGCCCTCAAAAAGACGTCTGGGGAGGGAAGAGTAGCGGGGTTAACAGAATCTGATGTGTTCCTTTTTCCCACTGGTATGAGCTCGATTTTCAACTCGCATCAGACGTTGTTAGCCGCCAGAGGTGCCATGAAGAGCATATGTTTTGGTTTTCCTTACATCGACACGTTGAAAACTCTTGAAAAATGGGGGCCTGGTTGTTTATTCTATGGAAATGGCTCGTCCGAGGACATAGATGACTTAGAGGCGCGATTAGACTCTGGGGAGAAGTTCCTCGCAGTCTTCACTGAGTTCCCTGGCAATCCATTGCTTAAGTCCCCAGATCTCAAGCGTATCCGTTCTCTTGCAGACAAATACGATTTTGCAGTGGTTGTGGACGAGACAGTGGGGAATTTCCTCAACATCAATGTGCTGCCATATGCCGATATTGTGGTCAGCAGTCTAACAAAAATCTTCAGCGGAGACAGTAACGTCATGGGGGGTAGTGCTGTGCTCAATCCCCATGGACGCTACTATTCATCTCTCAAAGACACTTTTGCCCGCGACTATGAGGATAATCTTTGGGCTGAAGACGCAATTTTCTTGGAAAGGAATAGCCGCGATTTTGTGTCAAGGATCGAGAAGATCAATAGCGCCACCGAAGAAATTACAGAAATGTTGAAGGGTTCATCACTTGGTAGGTGTTCTTCGGTCTTTCCAGTTTTAATACCATGCGTCTGACTTGGGACATAGTGAAAAACGTCTTCTACCCCAAATGCAACCCTTCAAGGCCCTTATACGAAGCCTTTCGTCACCCCAATGGTGGCTATGGCGGTCTTTTCTCTGTTACTTTCTACTCAACAGCCCAAGCTGTTGCATTCTTTGATCACCTGGAAGTCCTCAAAGGCCCCAGTCTCGGTACCAATTTTACTTTGAGGTTAGTATTACTGCGCGAATCCTTCAGCCTGGATGGAATTGTGTTAACTTAAACTCAGCTCTCCCTACACCTTATTAGCCCACTACGGTGAGCTAGGATGGGTATGTCGATGTCATTCTGTTCAATTTTCTCTCCTGTTATCACCCTCGTCCATCTCTAACACCCCTTCCTAGGCAAGCTCTTTTGGCGTAGAATTTGACCTGGTAAGGATAAGCGTTGGCTTAGAGGATGTGGCTGATCTCCGCTGTCGGTTTCAACGGGCATTGGAGGCCGTAGCAAAGGTCAAAACGTAGAGAGGAGGGGACAATGACTCAATACTAGTATCCTTCCGGGCTGCATCTGCTAGGTTCTCGATAACGCATGAATAATGCTTCGGATCAATCCAACGAAAGATGGGGAGTCAGTGGTCTTGTCACTTTCAACCGAGTTGAAACATGCTATGCCTAAGGCACTGACGTCGCAGCCAGAACAAGGACGCTATGTTTGAAAGACGTTTGCTAGCATCATGCCTAGCATGCTATTGGATAATAGTTAAACCACTGAGGTTCCATCATAGGCCCTCTTTACGTTCATCTCTCCATGTTTCAATTTTCCCCTACAAAGTCAATGTACATAAGACAAAATGTGAGATAGCGATAACTTAGGTTGATTTGGCAAGTCGTGTGAGAACGATAATGGACCTGACCTAGTGATAGTAAGACATGTGCGAGGGATCGATATATTAAGTAGATCGACGCTGGGTCTCTAAGCGGCACACGGAGGGGTCATTCCGCGCATAGATACAGTGGGAGGTAATAAGTTTTTGGCACACCCGCTTAAGGTTTAGCTGCCAATTTAGGGACCGCCTACTAAATTAGGTATATTCTGCCAGCCCGAAACCTCAAATTCCTACCCTAGTATTTAGTATACCAGCCCTGGGTCTCAATAACAGCCTTTACACAGTGAGACATAGTTGGGGATAAATATACTAGAATCCTCTGTTCTTTAGTCTGCTATACCTCCTTAGCTGCCTGTTCAAGGAGCTGATATATTGACTCAGTATTATCAGTGTGTTCTAAGTCTACGCGCGCGTATACGTGCCTCTGTCCCGCTTACCATAGTAAAGATGATAGGCGGTAGGACAGGTGCACGGGCCCCCCTGGGGTGTGCCAAAAACTTATTACCTCCCACTGTACTCTGTAGTTCGGCGGATAATCAAACCTCATCATGATATATATATATGTTATTTATGTATGGTACTTACGCAAAGCCTAGTACAATGGCACTATTACATAACGATCCTATTGACTTCATATATCATTATATCAAGTTCAGGCCCGAAACAGCAATTCAATTACAACAAAAGTCATCGACCACAGGACTTGATCGATACTACCTGGCCTATCTTGCGTAACCAGACTTCTTACCATCAGTTCTCGCGAGCAGCTGTATCATTGTTCCCCTGCCGATATTGATAATTTGGTGCTTGGCAACGTACCCAAGAAATAAAAAATATTCAAGCCGCTTGTTTCACACCAATAGTGTTACAAGACGAGGATGAATCGATAATTCCATGGTGGGAAACTTAAGCCCGGCGACAATGGAGAGCTATCTAGGGACACCACAACCGCATAGTTGAACCTTTACACCGTAGCTGGCTGAAGGGCGCAAGTTAACGATATCTCAGTGTTATCTGCATGTCCAGCATTAGCCGTATCAGCAAGTGGGATGAAGCCAAGGTGTCGCACATCAATTGTCATAGAATTTTTGTCTGGGAAGACGAGAATCTCTGAATTGCCCAAGCAATGCAGTGTCTCCTAGTAGAGGCGAGGATAACAATCGCTCTGTGTTTGTTGCACGAAAACGCCGCTTGCAATATAGGTGTACACTATGATTGAAAAATTGATGCAACCTAGATTAATACAATCGACTATATTTGTCACAGACGAGGCCTCCAGAAAAGGGGGCATAAGGTCAGTCGTTATAGGGTCAAATAGTATCTTCTTGAACATCTCTTTCAAAGATCAGCGAGGAAATTGCTAGGGTTACTCGTAGTGGATGAGTTAAGCGCTCAGAGAACGACATTGATCAATAGAGGCTGGTAGATAAGGCAAAACAAGTATAGTGATCAGCGGAACTTTCGAGTCGAGAAGAGCAATAGGGGGTGTCACTGAAGAGCCAAGGATGACTACCAATAATTGACGTGCATCATCTGCTAATATACGCCTGCGGTTCCAACACAGCCACATGGAGCCTATGTCGGTTTGCGCTTCTTTCCTTGTTTGAACTCCAGAGTAGATCACCGTCGATTAGGCTATGGTCGACAATAAATACGGCAACCAGATGACTTGTTAGCTTTTTGTATCTCGTACGTAAAACATGGTTCGAAGCCACTCCTTTCATCCGCGAATTTGCCGAAGTAGGATTTAGATGTCTAAACAGTGAGCGTATGTTAGTAGTTGATGGAAAAGATTATGCAACCCCTTCTTTGGATTGCATTTATTGTTAGAATCGATCCCATCATCTGTCTAGTTGGTCCAAGCACATGCACAATGGCACATTCCTAACTATTCGTACCTGTCAGAGAAGCAATGTGTGGAGTTACTGGGGCATGCTCCAGGGATTAAGTAACCGAGGAGAAGAAGAAAAACAGGGGTAAAAAAAGGGAAGAAGGAAATAAAATTGGGGAGAGATGATTGATGTGAGCAGTAGATCTACATACACTTAAAGTTATCGTGTAGTCTATTAACGATGATTGGGCCATGTACAGAGCCTATTACAGGAAAGCGGACGATCAGTCTAGATACCCAATATTCCTTTCACCCGATGTTCCCGTTGGGCTTTTAATGCAGTGATGGTCCTAAGGATAGCTTAATGGTATCAATTGGTTTACAACCAAAGTTACTTGAACTTCAACCGAGACGCTGACAGCCGTGGAGTCTTTCCTAACCCACTATCCTCACAATTAGACATTTTTATCGGGGCACCTTGCGCATATACGGAGTACATTGCTGGAAATGTTTGTTGCATTGCGTTAGTCGGAGAGTTTCTAATGACACCACGTCAAGAATGAACTTTAGTTCTGGTGATACAGAGAGTACAACTAATATATATAAATTTGTACGGTATATGGATACATAGGTTGGACTTTATGCACACTTCATGATGTAAAAGTATGTACTTCTTGCAGCCAGTGCATATCAGGTAACATATCTATGGGACGTACGGAGTATAGTACAGCACAAAAAAATATCCATGTGATGTACTCCGCAGTCATTGACTTGATTTATTGACTCTAGGAGTGGTACAGTACCTGGATTGAAACGGATCGTAATTACGCTACATAATATCTCGTAAGATACAACTCGATTAGGCTAGGCTGTGTCTAATGCAGATCAGCCCCAGTCACGGGACTTGCTGCTCGGAGGAAAAAGTTAATGTTCGAATCTCCAAGAGTTTCTCCCTTTGTAGAAACGTCGAACCTGGCTTCAACGCGGCTAGAAGATAATGCTATAGCCTTAACTTGCGACAGTATGTTCTCAGGCATTTGCGCATATTCTGCACCGCCCATGATGCTATTAAGTTCAGAGAGTTGGTTGCTAACACTCGCTTTTTGGTTCTAGTTTACCCTGGATTGAGATTAGCCTACACCGGTAATCTAGGGCTCCTTTAGCATAACTTCAAATCAAATCCGAGGTCCTAGATAGGAAGGGAAAAGAAAATGGCAACGTGTCTCACTGCCCCCAAACGGTCGTTTTTAGCACTGCCGTTTCTTTTTCCGTCTTCGTGTGAGTCGACCACGTTGCAAACACGCCGACATCAATCCTCGTATAGACGCACGAAACAACGCCTACGTGTCAAACCAGATGCGTCGTTTGGTGTTTCATCCACCCAATTTCATGACCAAATCATCCACAACCCGCCTTCGAGCGCCCCCTCGGTATACCATACACCCACGAAATTCCTCCCTCTCGATGATGTTCGGAGAACCCTCCGTGGCGCTTCCATGAACAATGAAAATTCCACTCAACTCCCCTCTGTATTCAAAAAATCTGTGGAGAAGAGGTATCATTTGAATCCTTCAGACATAGAGGAGATCCGCAGACTGCGACTAAGCGACCCGATGACTTGGAGCCGTTGGAAATTGGCTAAGCGCTTTGACTGCTCCCCAATGTTCATTGCTATGGTATGTGAAGCTGGCCCACAAAAGAAAGAAATCCAGAAACAAGTCTTGGAAGCGGTACAATCAAGATGGGGTACAAAACGTCGGATGGCTAGAGAAGACCGACAATTGCGAAAAGAGTCATGGGGAAGAGACGAATGAGGGAGGAGAGTCCCGTCTTGACTCAGCTCTAGCCAATTGATCTTTCTTTCTCTGGTTGTTTGAAGGGTCAAATTAATTTGACGCTTGCTGTTTCTCTTGTTAATGTCCATGGCTTTTGGGAAGCCCACAGAGGTTGTATCAAAACATGTATTCTAGCTCTAGCGTTACTGTATTGGATTCCATACTGTATTAACTATGTTAGAACCTCATTGGGTTCCAGTAAGTTCTTCCTCAGGTACTCCGTACCTACTAGTGATACGAGATAGTGCAGTGTCGCTTAGTTGCGGCATAGAGGTCGCGTGTTACCTTTTAGCGCTTCAATTATTAAATTGTTAGGTAAACGTCCCCTCCCAACTAGCAAATCGTGTCACTTCGATTTTCTTCCGCACGCACCCAAATGCCCCTCCTCCGTCGCGTCGCAACGTCACTGAGGGAATATAAGCCTTGTTTATCCTCCTCGGGTTCCACTAAAGATTGGACACCGTATTTCTCATTCCTAAGAACAAATTACTTCTCCTGTCGCCGCTCTTTTTACGGACTTATTAGTGATCGAAAAATGGCACCACATCTTGACCCATTCTTTAAACAGTAAGTTTCCTTTGGTTTTCTATTGTTTCTTTTGTCTCTCTATTTCTCCATTATCATCTTTCCCCAGTACCCAAAAGGGTGGCCATATGTTAAAGGCCTGGTGCCACATCTGTCTAGGGTTGACGGCCTTGCCGAATCTTTCATTGAGCGTAAGTCAAGTGTTACCTTTTCTATCTACCTATGCAGCACGCTGACAGAACTCAAGGTCTGCGAAAGGCTGTTGCGATCCCTTCTGTTTCTGCACAAGATGAGAACAGGCAAGACGTTTTCAGAGTACGTGATGCTCTATTACTCCTTACGAATAGAATTAACCCATAACCCATCCCTGTAAAGATGGCTCAGTTTCTTGCTTCGGAGTTGGAGGCTCTTGGAGCTGAGGTGCATCAAAGGCCGTTGGGAAAACAGCCTGGGAAGGAACACCTTGACCTACCCCCGGTTGTCATCGCTCGGTATGGCAATGATAAAAGCAAGCGAACCATCCTGGTTTACGGTCATTATGATGTCCAGCCAGCGCTGAAGGAAGACGGGTGGGCCACAGAGCCTTTCCAGTTGACGGTTGACAACCAAGGAAGGATGTACGGCCGCGGAAGTACAGACGACAAAGGCCCCGTTTTGGGATGGTTGAATGTGATCGAAGCTCACAAAAAAGCTGGTGTTGAGCTGCCAGTCAACCTTCTTTGCTGCTTTGAGGGAATGGAAGAGTATGGCTCAGAAGGATTGGAGGAGTTTATTCAAGCTGAGAGCAAAGGCTTTTTCAAGGATGCGGATGCCGTCTGCATATCGGATAATTATTGGCTCGGAACAGAGAAGCCTTGTCTAACCTATGGCCTGCGTGGCTGCAACTATTACTCTGTCAGTGTCGCAGGGCCCGCTCAGGATCTTCATAGCGGAGTTTTCGGTGGATCTGCCCATGAGCCTATGACAGATTTAGTCCATGTGATGTCTAAACTTGTTGATACTCATGGCAACATCTTGATACCCGGCATTATGGACCTTGTCGAGCCATTGTCAGAGGAAGAAAAAGCCCTCTATCCCAATATCAGCTACACGATGGACGACCTCCATCAATCTCTGGGAAGCAAAACTAGCATTCACCCAACGAAAGAAAGAACGCTCATGGCTAGATGGAGGTATCCATCTTTGTCCCTTCATGGCATCGAAGGCGCATATTCGGCTCCTGGCGCCAAAACAGTGATACCCGCGAAAGTCATTGGTAAATTCTCGATACGGACAGTCCCTAATATGGAAAGCAAAGATGTGAATAAACTCGTCTTTGATTACATCAAGGCAGAATTTGCAAAGCTGAACAGCAAGAATACTTTGGATGTGTGGTTGCAGCATGATGGGAAATGGTGGGTTGCTAGTCCAAAACACTGGAACTTCACTGCTGCAAGCAAGGCAGTGAAGCAGGTATTTGGTGTTGAGCCAGATATGACACGTGAAGGTGGCAGGTATGTTTTTTTTTAGCAAGTTCTTGATGCTACGCCATGACCAAAGCTAACGCAAACAGCATTCCTGTCACCCTGAGCTTCGAACAAGCGACAGGCAAGAATGTTTTGCTTTTGCCAATGGGCAGCTCAACTGATGCAGCTCATTCCATCAACGAGAAGCTTGACAAGAGGAACTACATTGAAGGGGTAAAATTGCTTGGTGCTTACCTCCACTATGTTGCAGAAGAGCCCATGGTGGCGGCATAATTGTACATCAGTAGCTCTTTCTTATAAAAGACTCAGTTAGCTGTTTTATTGATCACCGCGTCTATACATCAAAAAGTGATTTTGTTTCACTGCTCATTATGTCAATAGCCCGTGAAGTGAAATGAATATTTCGATGTACCAGCCGTCATGAGCAGATATTCTGCCACTTTATTCACCGCTCTCCGCCCCTGATGAGCTATCGAGAGTGCACACCATTCAATAAGGTACAGGGAGGGGTATTTCAATGAAATTAGAGTATAGTTTGTAACCTTGGTGACCACCTACTGTTATAGGCGGCTTCTGCCTGTATAAAGTCCTCACATCGCTGGACTGTACGGAGCAACAGGTCCATCAAGCATCTTCCCTAGACATCCCCTAAACGACCCGAGATACTACCGAAGCATCCTACTAGTATCTAGGTAGAATATCTATGAAAGTTGATCCTTCGCTTACCAATGCTTAGTACGGGATTCTAAGAGATTGCTTAAAAGATGATTGATAAAAGTAGAATATCGTGTATTGACCATTTGATGTAATTAATACTGTGGGATGCAAAAAGTTTGAAACCGTCCATTTATTGCCTAGTATAACTGCCATCCTGATTATGATATTCTGCACGGCAGAAAACCTCCAAATTGTGTATCTAGGCCTTGATACCTAGTATATCATCTATCTACCCTAGTAATTAATGTCTTGCTCCTATCTAGGAGCTGTACTTTAATATGTAAATAGACATTATATAGGTCTAAACACTGGATTTGGTGAGATATGAAAAAGGCGGTAGTAGGTGCCATTTAGGCGGTCAAGCGGACGGTTTCAAACTTTTGAGTCTTGACATCCCACAGTAAATACAGTTTTTAATCAGATAATAGAAATTTTTAAAAAAATATTTAATATAAAGTTTCTAGTCTTTCTAAAATTACGTATACTATATATAAAAATATAAATTAGTGTATTATAGATAGAAAGGTCAAAGATAATAAAAAATAAGAAGATAGTAGATAAAATATACGGAGTACCGTATTTTAAGATATATAATTATCTTTTACTAGTATTTTATATATAAAATAAAACTACGGAGTATAGTTTCAGATATAGAATTGGTAGAGGAATCGGATAATTAACTTTATTTTAGTAATTTTATAGATATTTAGTAGTAATAATATAAGATTTTTTTATTTTTTTTTATACTAAAATTTCTTTTAGGCCGCTGAATACCCATCAGCGGAAGGCAGTGGGTGTTCGGAATCACCACTGATACATGTTCCATATTACACAGGGTAAAGCTATGGCTGCGTACGGAAACCCAATTCGGGCCATTTACGCGACTCAATACGCGTTTCAAGCTTACTTCGTATAGGGTAAGCATGACCTACTTTCGCATTCAATGAGTTTTTATTCGAATTGATCGGAAGGCTGCTAGATATTGTGTGATGGCTTTCAAACCCTTGTTACTTCTAGTATGAATAATTACTGTTTATCTGTATGATCCAGTTGTGTTTTACCGATGTCATCGTTAAAGCGTCAGCAGAGACCCTTGGGGCCGGGAGAATGGGATGAAGGGGAGGACAACAAGTCAAGGTCATCATCCAGCGCGTGCCATTTGGTGTGTATTCTTTGTGTTTTGTTTTATAAACTAACTAACACTCACGGGAAGCACAAACGTATTCGCACCAAATCTCCCTTGTACGAAGGCACCGATGTGAGCGACAGTGAGAGTGGAGAAAGAATTCATCGTTCTATCAACCAGGCTTTGGAATATGATGAGGACGAGCTTGAATTACGTGCAACGCAACTGATCCAGGAGAAATATTCTTTCGCTAGTGATGAACCCAATGTTCCCGCTGAACATGGCATTCTTGAACGTGTTGAATGCTACAACTTTATGTGTCACGACCACTTCTTTGTCGAACTAGGGCCATTGATTAATTTTATCGTCGGGAAAAATGGCAGCGGCAAGAGCGCAGTGCTAACAGCTATAACTCTCTGTCTGGGTGGCAAAGCATCTGCTACAAATCGCGGTCAGAGTCTTAAGAGTTTCATCAAAGAAGGCAAAGAGTACGTGCGTTTATCACTATACAGGTCACATGATTACTAATTGATATTCTGTAGGAGTGCAACTATTGTTGTGCGCATTAAAAATCAGGGAGATGGTGCCTATATGCCGGATGATTATGGAAAATCCATTGTTATTGAACGCCATTTCACAAAAACTGGAACGAGTTGCTTCAAAATCAAGGCAGAGAATGGACGTCTAGTTTCCACCAAAAAAACCGAACTGGATGCTATTATTGACTTTTTCACATTACAATTTGACAACCCGATGAATGTTCTCTCACAAGACATGGCCCGCCAATTTTTGAGCAGCTCAAGTCCTGCTGAGAAATACAAGTTCTTTGTGAAGGGTGTTCAGTTGGAGCAACTTGATCAGGACTACCGACTGATCGAAGAATCTGCTGATCAGATTGAGGAGAAGCTCAGGGGGCGAGAGCAAGATATTATGACCCTAAACAACCGCAAAGTTGCAGCAAACCAGAAACTGGACATGTCTGATCAACACGAATCCCTAAGGAACAGGGTCAGAAATGTCCGGAGTCAAATGGCTTGGGCTCAGGTTGAGGAACAGGAAAGAGTAAGCACAGACATTAATTGTTTGCAGGCCGGTGTTTCTGATGAACCGTAGATGAGGAGCTCTTTAGAGATTGAACTAGCCAAAGCCAATGAGAAGATTGCAACCGCTGAAGCTGAGCTGGGCAGCTTCGACGCTGCTATACGAGAAGCTGAGGAGGAAACCGAAGCCATTGCCGAATGTGTGAGACAAGTTGCTGCTAGGCTCGAGCAAGCACAAAGTGAGAAGGTGGATATTAAAGCTAGGTGGGACGAACAAATGACTGAACGTCATGATTTGCAGGTAATCCTCCACCACAGAACTCCCGGGCTTTTTACTGATGGTCATTGCAGGCACAGCAACGTCAGATACGAGATTATCTAAAAGCAGCAGAAGCTAGGATAAACGAAACGCAACAAAAGATTGAAGAAGAAAATCAACGTTTGGCTGACTTAAGCGGAGGAAGCTATACTAGGAAACAGGAAAAACTCGAGCAAGCGAAAGCAGAAGCTGCACATGCCAGCACACAGTACGAGGAGCACCAACGCAATACAGATCGCCTATACCGAGAGTTGGAAGTGGCTGGAAAAGAAGTGGATTCATTAGTGGCGCCACTTGGCAGAACGAAGACCGATGTTGAGCAAGCCGAGAAACTTTTACGAAGCCTGAGCAAAGAAGGCGGATCCAAAACCTCAGGATTCCACGACAAAATGCCGGCTCTCCTGAGGGCCGTTCAACAAGAACAGGGCTTCACCGAGAAGCCTGTCGGTCCCATCGGTCGTCATGTGACCTTGCTGAAACCAGAATGGTCATCTATTTTGGAGAACTCGTTTGGCACGACGTTGAACAGCTTCATCGTAACATCCAAAAGAGACATGGAAATTCTTTCTCGTATTATGCACAATGTCAACTGGTATGTTCCCACTGCCCATGGTTTACGAACCATACCTTTTTAACAATACTGGAAGCATATGCCCAATCTTTATAGGAAACGATGGGTACATTGATACATCAGAACACGAGCCTGATCTTAAATTTGATACGGCTCTACGGGTGCTTCAGGTAGGTGCCTTTGATTCGCAGAGCCAGCTACATTAGGTTGATATACTCGAACCTGCAGATTGACAACGAACTCGTCCGTCGACAGTTGATCATTAACCATGGTATTGAGCAAATGCTTCTAATCGAAAAGCTAGAAGAAGCATCTTCAGTACTCTTTGATGGACAGAAGCCTAGGAATGTGAAGCGGTGTTACTGCATTGACCAAACGGACAGGCGCCGGGGCATCCATCTATCTTACAATCGTGTGGGAGAGCCAAGCCAGGCGCCGGTTCCTGTATACAGTGGCAGCCCACGAATGAAATCAGATCTAGCTTCACAAATCAGGTGATCCTTAAATGTATCTAAAGCCTCGCTTATCCACTGACATTTACTCCCGCAGGGTTCAACGTGATGTAGTGGCAGACCTCAGGCATCAGCTCGGCGATCAGGAAGAGCAATTTCGATCTGCTCGGTCTCGCTTGGAGGGCTGCAAACAAGCTCTTATGAGGCATGAAAAGAGTACAAATGAGTTGCGAATCGCATTGCAGAGGAAGGAAGACCATGTGGAAGAACTCACAGATGTACTCGACAAAGAACCTGTGGAAGACGATCATCTTGATGTGCTGCGAGCCACGCTCCAGGAGGCTAAGGAAGAGAAACACATCAACGAAGGGTCTTTGGAAGACAGTATGGAGGCCATGGAGGCCATGATGAATGAGCTTAAAGCCATTAAACAACAACTCGCTTCTAAGGATGCCGATATAGCTGCGTCAACGGAAGAGCTCCGTGTAACTCGAAGTGAGGAACTCATGGGGCAAGAAAAACGCCGAAAGATCATTAATGATAAAAACATTGCGGTTGAACGAATCGATGATAGCAGACGAGAAAAAGAAAGGATAAATGAGAAAAGAGAAGAGGTTTCTGCACGTGTTATCGACTTCAGCGAGAAAGCTAGTCTAGTCTCACCGCGGGTTCCAATTCCTGAAGGTGAGACTGCTGCTAGTTTGGACAAAAAGCTGGACAGACTTAATAGGGATATTCAACGCTATAACCAACAGTCAGATACTTCAAACACACATTGCCATGATACTTGAACTAACTAACCACTAGATTGGGCGCATCTCGGGATGAGATCGCCGCTGAAGCCGCCAGAGCATCCACAGCCTATGATCGGGCCCTTAAGCAAGTGGAGGAATTTAGGTTACTTGCGGATGTACATTTTGACCTTCCCCCTCCTCTCTTTTATGCTTTTGCCCTTGTACAGAGGACTTAAGTTTTGACTGTATCTACAGATCCTCATTGAAACACTCAAACATCGCAAGAAACGTTGGGTAATTTTCAGATCTCACATTTCATCCCGGGCCAAGGCACAATTCACGTACTTATTAAGTGAGAGAAGTTTTCGTGGTCGACTTCTAACGGACCATGAGAGCAAGCTGCTGGATTTACAAGTACGTTACATGATGCTGTTTTCTTCTCACAGAATCTAACAAGACTTGCTAGGTTGAACCTGATATAACAAAAGACAGCACTGGACGGGGTGCAAAGACACTTTCCGGTGGTGAAAAGTCTTTTTCTCAAGTTTGTCTTCTATTGGCACTTTGGGAGGCTATGGGATCTCCTGTCCGCTGCTTGGATGAATTGTAAGTTAGCGATCATCAGGGGCATTAACTATCACTAACCTTAGCCCAATAGCGACGTGTATATGGACCACATCAATAGGAAGATGGCAATTGATATGCTTGTATATCCCTCCCTTCTCTTCTCTTCTTTTTAACTCCTGTTCCATTGTTTTTGCTAACAGAACAATCAATAGATGCTGGCCGCTAGGCGGTCAGTAGGTGTGCAATTTATACTAATCACACCTGGCTCAAGGGCGGAGATTAGTTTAGCTCCTGATGTCCGTGTGAAGGAGTGAGTATAAGTTTCCAGACCAGGTATAGTTATCAGCATTGCAACTAACAAGTGTCTTCCTTGTAGATTGGCAGAACCTGAACGAGGGCAGACCAGATTAGCATTTCGCCAGTAATCAGAATAGGTAAAGTCTGTTTTATACAGAACATTCAATAAATTGACGAAATATTTCATATCGGCTGATGTCTACGAATAATGTCTCATTAATTGGACAAGAAGAATTACCTCAAAGCGGTCTTCAACAACAACAACAAGAAGAAGAAGAAGAAGAAGAAGAAGAAGAACGTATAAAATATAATAAGCATGCCGCTAAATTATTGAGAAAGATGGAGTAGCATAAAATAAACTATAAGTCCGAGTGTCAGGCTCATTTGTTTTATTGATCCAACTAGTGCGGATCAACTGAAGGAGGACTTCTAAAACAATCGCCTTGGGCTAGAGATGTCGTGGATGACCCTTCATCTCAAAAGCGTGTGATATGCGCCTGGTAAGCTGTCAGGACCTGGGCAAGGAACTAAAAGAGAGCTTCGTGAGCGGCTATAGCTCTCCTGATAGCCTAGCATCGACAAATGACAGAGCCGATCAGTAATTGAGAAAATCACATAAATCCATGCGCTTCCCTGTTTGTTCATGAAATAATCTACTCCAGAAGCTGATTTAGGATATCTCTATGGTATTTCGATGTTTATCAGTTGGGTCAGACCGAAAACACTTGCACCATGATGGAAGATGCAGCAGTTGCCTAGCGGTCCTGCCAAGCAAGGTACTTTATCATCTAGCACAATTGACAGTGCATTAAAATGCGATACAATAGGTCTACGAAGACGGGCAGGAGCATGTTGCCGGAATACGAGAGTTGTTATAGATTTAGTAGCTGACTACTGTATATTAATACTGTTACATGTCACAATAGACATGGCCCTTATGCTATAAGCCACGCACCCATTTCTTCAGCTTCAGCTATATTGCTATCCTCATGTCAACCGCGATATAGCACGATAGCCTCAGCGCTGCCACTTCATATCTGTTAACCCTGTCACGTGGGATATGATGTACCTAAAAGCGGCGTTGTTTCTAGTTGTAACTTGATGGTACTGGTAACAGTGGAGAAAAACACTGAGCTCATTGGAGTTTGATCTTCTTGCGGCTAGCCGGTACTACTAGTACTCCAGGGCTAGAGGTCAGTAAAGGCGGCGAGGCTACACAGTACTGCCCACTCAACACAGAAGTTTTCACTCATAATCTTTTGCCTTTATCGTACTTCACACTACAGGGTTACTCATCTTTTGTATCCGCGAAATACCACAGACACGACTCTCACAACATTCAATATATTGTTTGAGATCTTGGGGGGTTTGGTGCTATCTCACCTGTCGTCATTGGTGCCTCTAATTTACACTAACCAGTGTCTCTCCCTTTACACCTGAAACTAGGTCACAGCCAACTTTACCTTGGCACTTACAAGCAATCATCCAACCCACACGCAAAGACACCCGATATTGTCTGTTCGCCGTGCTCTTTTCCCATATACTACCTCACTACCCAAGAGAATCACCCGTTTTCCGAGTCTGCCAAAGACCAAGTCCACCTTCTATACCTTCGGCCCCCTCTTACATTCATTGGAACCGGCCACACGGTTCAGGACAGCAGAAGCCCATCATTTGTCTTCTTTGACCCTTTCGACTTCATTGTGTACGATTTCGTGAGGCCCATTCTTACGAACACCTTCGAAATCTAAGACTTCGTTCTCTATTATCCTCTATCTGGGCAAGCGATTATCACCATGGCCGAAGCTCTTGCCTCACAACTTAACAACACAACCCTAGGGTATGTGGGCTTACACGTATTCTGCTAGGCTTAGCCAAAAGTTACTCAGTACTGTCGTTATAGGGAAGCAAACTCAGACACAAGGTGGAAGGACCAACTAAAAGCCCCTGCAAAAGATGCACGGCCACAAACCGAGGTTTGCCACGTCTAATGCCTACGCTTACCTCTTGGAAGTCTAACTCCAATCTAGGACGTGACGGCCACTAAAGGCCTTGAGTTTGAAGATTTTTATATCAAACGCGAACTTATGATGGGCATCTTCGAAGCTGGTTTCGAAAAACCCTCTCCTATCCAAGAAGAAACAATACCAGTTGCTCTTACTGGTAGGGATATTTTGGCTCGAGCAAAGAATGGCACCGGAAAGACAGCGGCCTTCGTCATCCCCACATTAGAACGCATAAATCCTAAAAGCACCAAAACGCAAGCACTGATCCTTGTCCCAACCAGAGAGCTTGCGCTCCAAACATCTCATGTTTGTAAAACTCTCGGGAAACATCTGGGGATCAACGTAATGGTCACCACTGGAGGAACTGGATTGATGGATGACATTATCAGGTTGAACGACGCTGTCCATATCCTTGTCGGAACTCCAGGCCGTGTTCTAGATCTGGCTAGCAAGGGCGTTGCTGACCTTTCTGAATGTCCTACATTCGTCATGGATGAAGCCGACAAATTACTGTCGCCTGAATTCACTCCTGTAATTGAACAGCTATTGTCATTTCATCCTAAAGACCGTCAGGTCATGCTTTTCAGTGCGACTTTTCCATTGATCGTGAAGTCGTTCAAGGTACGTCTCATCTGATTCCTTTTCATTACTCTTAGGCTGACGCCCTTGTTAGGATAAACACATGCGCAACCCTTACGAGATCAACCTTATGGATGAGCTCACCCTCCGAGGAATCACTCAGTATTATGCTTTTGTGGAAGAAAAGCAGAAAGTCCATTGCCTTAATACTCTTTTTTCCAAACTTCAAATTAATCAATCAATCATCTTCTGCAATTCGACAAATCGCGTTGAACTTCTCGCAAAGAAGATCACGGAATTAGGCTATTCGTGCTTCTACTCACATGCAAGGATGCTTCAACAACATCGGAATCGAGTCTTCCATGATTTCCGGAACGGCGTATGCCGCAACCTTGTTTGCTCCGATTTGCTAACTCGAGGTATTGATATTCAAGCGGTGAACGTCGTGATCAACTTTGACTTTCCCAAGAACGCTGAAACCTACCTCCACCGAATAGGCCGATCTGGTCGTTTTGGTCATCTGGGTCTAGCAATCAATCTTATCAACTGGGATGATCGTTTTAATCTGTATAAGATTGAGCAGGAGTTGGGAACCGAAATACAACCTATCCCTCAAAATATCGACAAGAAGTTATACGTATATGAATCGCCGGAAACCATTCCCCGCCCAATCGCGAATGCGTCACAAGCACAGCTCGCAACGAGTGGGAACCAAAACCAGAACTTTGGAGAACGCCGCCACAACAATCACTCGAATGGGGGACATTATCAGTTCAGCCGGGGTCGAGGTTCATATCGTGGAGGTCGAGGCCAAGGTCAGCGCCGCAACATACAGAATGATATGAATAAATTTAGTACTTCCCAGAATCAACAGCAGAGTGGCAAGAGCCAACCTGCGCAGGTGTCGCCAAATTGACATCAGTTTGGTAAGAACATTGTTATTTTTCTATCTTTTGTTTCTTCCTTCTCCTCTCCTTTTTGCCTTGCTCGTTATTATAAATTCTCTCAATCTTAAACGACCTTGGCCAAGTTACCTGACAGTGCACAATCAATGTCTTTTACTTTTTCTCTTTCTTATTATCAATGCAAACTTTACAGTGTGTGTTATGAATTCCCTTGTTTGTTTTCGACAATGGTGATTTGATAACGGTGACCACATCTGTATCATATTTTTCTGCTACCTTTTTGTTCCAGTCTCCTCAAGGTTTTATATTCGCCTTCACTATCCTCAGCTCTTTCTTCGTCGTCGTTCTCCCCTTCAAGAGTCAGAAAGGCGCTTAGTTTTATGTACATATTGATGCTGCATTCTTTGGTTTTTGAGCAAAAATGGCGGCGTTTATCGGTTATCACCCAGCAGTTTGTCATGTTTTCGGCGTTTGTGGATGGCTCTCAGATAACCCATCGCCCCAAGTACCTCGTCTCATTGACTAGGCTCTTTTCCCTACTCTTCTGCCTCCCCTTTCCCTTTTTAACTATACCCTCGCCGGCGCTTATCATGCAGCTTTGGATGGTCTAAGCTATTGTCCGGCATCATAGGCCGGCGCAGTGTATTGGGGCAGTACACATCGGTGTTTGGGTTCTTTACTTTTTTCGCTCTCTTTATTTCCCAGGTTTCCGCACGGTCATTGGGTGTTCTGTGTTGCATTCGGCGTTGTGGCTATGCAGCCTTTTTTTTTCTTGTTTGCCAACACATTGAGAGATTGGCTTTGTTTGCGGGTGGTGTTCAAACCCGCTCTATGGCTCATGTCCCTTTTCACCCTGACGAAAGATAGTGCATCTTGCTATCCGTCAGATAAGGACAACTTTAAGTTGGTGCAGTCCCAATCTGTGGCCATACCCAGGAGAGGATTATCTGGATCTATGTTACGGGGTACGAGATGATGACGATAGCAGATTCTGAAAATATTGGGAGAAACTTGTGAGGCGGGGGAAATATCTATGAAAGCTTTCTAACGAAATGAAGGACCAAAAAACAAAGAAAGAAAGAAAGCAAGCAAAAAGGGGGGGGAAAGGGAAAAAAAGGGGGAAATAAAGAGGGGAAAAAAAAAACAAAACAAGAATTTAATTAGGCATGTTTGTCCCAACAGGTTAGAGAGAATCCGTTACCATCCAGTAAGGTTATCAACAATAAGTAAATAAGATTGAAAAAAACAAAAAAAAAAGAGGGGAAAAAAAAAAAAAAAAAAATTGAAAACCAAATAAAGCCAGCAAAGAGGAGGGTTACCGTCAGATGTTTGTTTCACGCCTGTAGCCAACGGTCAAACTCACTCAGGTAGCATCTACGAAATGACAATTTACCCTCCGAGATGTAGAAGCTTCGAGATTCCACACAATATGTGGTAATAATACTAGTACCAGTGCTGTACAGTTAGATAGAGCCTTGGTACAAACTTGGTGGTTTGCTCTGGTGGGCGCAGGTGGGAGCATTTTATTCTGATATTGCGTGCCCTGTCCTCCCCGGCGCCCGTACTATAAATTGTGTTTGTTCTATATTAGTCTTAAGCCACTTTGCGTAAGTTGGTTCACACCCATTACTGCAGTGGTGGCCGAGCTCTTGGTAATCCTTTTTCAAAACGAAAAACATTCCAAAAAATAAAAAAATAAAATAAAATAAAATAACAACGAAATGAGTGCTACAGAGAAGGATCACAACCGAAAGGTGCGTTGCCCTTCACCGTCCATAGTACCTAATACTAATACGCATACCCAGCCCAGCAGTTTGCGGTCTATCATTGCGGGCTCAACAGCAGGTGCCATTGAAATCGGTAATGCTTGCCCACATCGAGGCACATATACTCTTATAGCCAAAGACTTTTGCTAATTATACTAGCAATCACTTATCCGGCTGAATGTATGGTACATGCCTTTGGCTACTCTAAGTCAGCTTACTCAACGTGTCCAGTTGCAAAAACTCGGTCGCAACTCAATCGCAAACTCCCGGACGGAAAAAAGCTGCCATGGCCCCCGTTTGGAAAGCAGTGGTACGCCGGCTGCACAACTTTGATTATAGGAAATTCGCTCAAGGCAGGCATCCGTGAGTCCCAACCTGTGCCCGAGTGTTCGATGTACTTACGTTAGGATCTGTCTGCAGGGTTCGTCGCTTTCGACAGATTCAAGTCACTTCTTCAGGATGAGAATGGCAAGATCTCGGGTCCAAGAACGGTAATTGCTGGCTTTGGAGCTGGCTTCACTGAATCTCTTTTAGCAGTGACACCATTCGAGAGCATTAAAACGCAATTGTCCGTTGCCTTAAAGCCCCAGCCCTTGCCACATACCCTTGACTACTTCATGCAACGATGCATGGTGAAGCTGATGTACAAAACACCCGCAGGATTGACGATCGCAAATCCGCAAACCCTCGTATGCGGGGGTTCTTGCATGGTAGTAAACTGATATTCCAGGAGCGAGGCATTCGAGGTTTTTTCCAGGGGTTCGTTCCTACAACTGCCAGACAAGCCGCCAACTCCGCGACCAGATTCTCAAGTTATACTATGTTAAAGCAACTAGCTGAAAGCTATGTCGCACCTGGAGAGAAGCTGGGAACTGCAAGCACCTTCGCTATCGGCGGTATGGCAGGCTTTATAACAGTGTGAGTTAACACAACGCTCGAAAAGCTGCTGCTTCTCCATGGCTATAAGAAATAACCACGACTAATACATCATTTCTGCACAGATATGTCACACAACCTCTTGATACTGTCAAAACCAGGTTTGCTAATGGCCACACTATGTGTGATTTGCTTTTTACGGTACTAATTCGATAGCAGAATGCAATCGCTGGAAGCTTCTAAGAACTATAGGAACAGTTTTGTCTGTGCAGCAAGGATATTCCAAGATGAGGGATTACTTACATTCTGGTCCGGGGCCGTTCCGCGACTTGCCAGATTGATATTAAGCGGGGGCATAGTGTTCACAATGTTTGTTTACACTTAGTTCAACCATCGTTTATAGCCTAGGCTTGATAACTAACCACTTTCAAATTAACAGGTACGAGAAGACGATGGACACTCTCGATTCTCTAGACCCGAAGAGACAATATATCTGATGCTGAGGAAGCGATGAACGCAGGGCAGCAATTGGTCTCTTGAACGCTATATTGCAGAACCACAATTAATATGCTTCGGTTGTATCTTAATACATAGCACTGACAAAGAAGAACCGCATTTTCTATATCTACAGCACTCGACTGAGGAATAGTACTAGTACAGAAAAGAAAAGTCAGCGCCTTGTTGACATTTTGACTCGTTTTTATGGGCGTGAAGCTTCCTTGTTCTTTGCTAGCTCATCAGCAACCAGCGCTGCCACTTCTTGGTCAACGAGCCAGGCCCGTACACTCTCCATGACAGTTTCGAGGCCTTCACCACCATCCAAGACATCATTCAAATTATGTATGGTGATGCCACTCCGATGGTCTGTGCAACGACTCTGGCCATAATTGTACGTGCGAATTTTGTCCCCGCGGCCCATACGAGCAACACCCCCCAACACCCCTCGTCTGAGTTCCACGAGTTTCTGTTCGCGAGCTTCTTGCCTTGCCTCGGCTAATCTGGCGCGTAAGATCTGCCAGGCTTTTTTGCGGTTTGCGTGTTGAGATCGAGAATCCTGCATGGAGACAACGATACCTGTGGGCATGTGAGTCAAACGAATAGCTGACTCTGTCTTGTTCACGTGTTGTCCCCCTGCACCACCAGCTCGCATCTTCTCGCTACGAACCTCCTGGGGATCAACGTAGTAGTCGCTGCTCGGATCATCAAAGTTGAGCGCGTTATCCATGCTACCTCCTGTCTCTGGGAAGCTAGGAAGAACCATCACGCTCACAGCACTGGTGTGCGTACGTCCCTTAGTCTCTGTTGCTGGAACTCTCTGCACACGGTGTACCCCCGACTCGGTTCTGAGTATCTCATAGGCCCCATCCGCCTCAACTTCCATTATTGCTTCACTTAGCCGATCCTCCGCAGGGCCATCTCCAACGTCCAGCTTAACAATATTGGACCGAAAACCACGACGAGAGCAGAATGCAGTATACATCCTCAGGAGTTCGAAGGCGAAAAGTCCCGCCTCATCTCCACCTGCGCCAGGCCGTATCTCGAGGAGGCAAGGAAGCGCTGCAAAAGGGTGGCGGGGGACAAGGGTCTGTTTCAAGTTTTCCGATATAGTCGGCAAAGCAGCCTTGACGGTTTCCAAATCTTCAATGGCCAGAGATTTGAGCTCAATATCTGTATCCGGGTCAACAAGCAGGGCATTGAGCTCTGATATAGACTACGAAAGAGATGAAAGCCGCTCCATTAGCAAGTTATCCCATCCAAAGTGAAAAAGCTTGAGAGGTGTGGACATACTTCATTGGTCCTGTCCCATTCTTCCAAGACATTTGCAATCGGTGCTAGCTCGCCCACCCGCTTTGCTATTCTTCCGTCAAAGGAATCCGCTAAATGAGCAGAAAGTTTAGAATGCTCGGCTGCCAAAGAGCGAGCGCGGGAGAGCAGCGATGAAGAAAGGTCAGGGCCTAACTGACTTGTCAGTCATTCGGCACCTCCACAGAGTATTAAACATGCATGGAGAGATAATAAACTAATTGTCTCTCAACTACCCGTACTTGTATTCAGTCCCCGCCATTGCAAAGTCGACCACGGCCTTTTAATAGCAGCTCTAGTCCCAAACCGCGTCAGGCATCGAGAGCATATCCAAGGGACATTAAGCATGCTTTGTTCTCAAAATAGGAGAATACGTCAGTCTCACAAAAAGTCCATGAGCTTCACATTCACTTAGCCAAGAACGATTCAATGGGCGTGCACATGCAGTATCTACTTATACTAGTCACGCTTCCCTTCAATCAGATACCAAATCACATGACTTTAACACATACGTACATACTATAACAAAAAAAAACCACCTAATAAATCGAGGAAAGAAAGGGCTCCAGTTCTTGAGGTGGGTCTGAGGTCAAGGTAGGATGTTGCATTGAACTAAACGTTGTGGGAGTACTCGTCCAGGAATGGTTGCAGGTCAGCTAGACCCTACTTCTCGGTGGCGCCACCCTTGAGGCGCTTAATAATCAGGTCTTAGTCCCGTGATTGTCAGTAACAAAATACAAATATTTCCAACTGTATAATCTATTACCACAAAAAATATATATTTTATATAGTATTATTTACTACTTTAATTTTAAGTACTTAGTATATATATATATTAGTTGATTTTAATTTTTAATTTTTATATAATTAATAATTAATAATTAATAATCTTATTTTTTAAATAATAAAAATCTACGCCTTATAAAGTTTTAATAAAAATTATAGAATATTTTAAAAAATAATAAGTACTTTGTAAGTACTTAAAATTAAAATAGTAAGTAATATTATAAAGAAATGGTATTACAGTTAAACTTACAATCTGATCTGTTCTGTTCTGCTTATTAATCGTCTTGGTATCACGTGATTTGAGGGTAAGGGTCCATCCCACCTCGCAGTGGAGCTCAGATGACCTGTCGACACCATCAGGGAAGATGCTATGGATGCGGGCGTGCTGACTAATTTTGATACACCGCCTGAAAACTGCCTCCCCAATACTCAACATTTCACCACTTGTAATTTACCATCTGTAACTGAGTTGTAAAGGCCAGACTGGAGTCTTGGCATACATTTCTCCCTCTGGCTGCTGTTATTAACTTCACTTATCGCCATAGATTTGATCATGTAAATATGTCTTCTGCCTTTTCAAAGGGCATTCATTCTGCTCCTGCAATTGCAATTTTTGGACTTCTTCTACCCTTTCTTTGAATATTCGCATAATTTCAGATAGTTGACCAGGCCCGTGAGACCAACTAACCCGTCCGAGCCAGATTGCCCTTTGCGTCGGTATAAGCATGATGCTCCTTTCCTTGGAGTCTCTTACGATCTTCCTGGCCGTTTCATCAGCCAGTTATGGTCTTCAATCTTCACAAGTTCCTTCAGACACCCCTCTGTCGTCGTTGATCACATCGGCGAAGACTCATCTCGCTGGTGGTTCTCCTCGCAATGCATTACTCTACTTCGACGCGGCTGTATCGAAGGATCCTACGAATTACATCACTATCTTCCAGCGGGGTGCGGCTTATTTGTCACTGGGTAAAAGTTCTCAGGCATTAGAAGATTTCGACCGAGTTCTGCAGTTAAAACCAGATTTTGAGAGTGCGCTCCTGCAACGAGCTCGCCTTCGAGCTAACACTGCTGACTGGGAAGGCGCGTTGAAGGATCTGGAAAAGGCCGGCAAGAAGTCATCTTTGGAATACAATGAGGTTCAAGAAGCACGGGATGCTGCAGCTCTTGCGCAGAATGCTGAGCAACACGGCGCCTGGGAGGCCTGCGTAAACCAAGCGAATGTGGCTGTACTTAAGGCGAGCGCCTCCCTAAGTCTACGACAAACTCGTGCACACTGCCGCTTCGAAAAAGGTGATGTAGAAGAAGGCATAAGTGACCTTGCCCATGTCCTACATATCTCCCCAAGTCTGGTGGACCCCCACTTACAAATGTCCTCCATGCTGTTCTACGCTTTGGGAGACCAAGAACGGGGCATTTCACAAATTCGGAGATGTCTTCATTTTGACCCCGACTCAAAACCGTGCAACGCCCTTTATCGGAAAGAGAAGAAACTCCTCAAACAGCTGCGGAAACTACAGGATACAATGTCTTCGCGGAAATTTAGCAATGCCATCAACTTGCTTGTAGGTGTAGGTGATGAAAGCGGACTTCTTGACGATGTGAAAGGCGAGGTGAGGGAAGCGAAGGAAGCAGGCCATATCCACCCCGCGGCCCCCAACAATCTTTATGGTTTACTGGTGGAGCGCACCTGCGAGGCTTACCGCGAGGTTTGTGCCCTTAGGAAGGCGTCCAGTTGACATGGCTCCCATTGGCTAATGCATTTATTTCTCAGGCGCATATGCCCAAGCGAGCTTCTCCGTACTGCTCCGAGACCCTTGACATGAACCCTTATTCTCTGCCAGCATTACTCTTTCAGAGTCAAGCGGCTCTTGATGAAGAGCGTTTTCATGACGCTATAAACATGTTAAATACAGCCAAAGAGCATCACCCCGGATCCAGAGATGTGCAATCACTTTTACAGAAGGCACATGTCTTACTGAAGCGCTCAAAGCAGAAGGACTACTACAAAGTTTTGGGTGTCAGCCGAGATGCTGATGACCGGACAATCAAAAGAGCCTACCGTCAACTTACTAAACAGCATCACCCCGATAAAGCTAAGTCCCAGGGTGTGACGAAAGAGGAAGCTGAGAAGAAGATGGCTGCTATTAATGAAGCTTATGAAATCCTTTCTGACTCCGAACTCAAGGCGCGTTACGACAGTGGTGATGACCCCAATGACCTGGAATCTCACAGGGGCAACCCGTTTCAAGGAAGCCCATTCGGGCCAGGAGGCGGTCAACAGTTTTTCTTCCAGCAAGGCGGACCACAGTTTAAATTCTCAGGTCAAGGATTCAACTTTCCAGGAGGTTTCCCTTTTCGCTGATGTTGACAGCTAGTCTGTATACTCAAGATAAAGATTTTGTATAACTTTTATTCACTAAACTCAAGACTTCAAAGGAATCAGGTCATAACTATTGCTATAATCTCGGCGAAATTGACCTGAACTTTTGTGATACTATCCATGTAAACTCCAACGCCGGCAGTCTTCCACATAGTTCACTCAGGGTCCCTTAATGTCGAATGCTATAACGACATTATGTCCAACGGTTTGTTTACTTCTTTGGCGGGTCGGTCAGCGGAACATAGCTAACCTGGAACACCTTTTCCTTGTGGATTGACCCGTCCTCCCTCTTGTCCACTACCCAAATATATTGGCCGCCGCCAAAAAGAGCACTCCCGTCACACTCAGTGTCAACGGGAATAAACATTCGGCCTGGGGCATGGAGTTGCGCGATTAGTACAGGATGGAGCTTTTCCGCCGCTGCACCAACGTGGATAGCATCATACGGTGCTCCCTCTTGCCATCCTAAACGGCCGTCAGCAGTAATAAACTTCACCCTTCCTGTATCTAATAATTTGCGCCCTTGATCCGACTTGTGCATATTTTTACCAGCCAAGTCAACAAGTTCTGGTATATGATCAATTCCAATAACATGGCCATTTGAATCATCAGGTATGGAGGGATCTGTAACAAGATTTGCGAGGACATGGGTCAGATAGCCAGAACCCGAGCCAATATCAAGTACCCGCGAACCTGGCCTGAGGAAATTGATGAGGTACTCGCATGCATGACCGTGCATGTGAGGAGCGGAGATTGTCGCACCATACCCAATAGGTTGTGGGGAGTCCGAGTAAGGCCTGGAAGGTGCATAATGGGCTCGATCAACCTTGCACCTTAATGTCAGACACACGTCTTGGGTAGGGAAGTGCACGTGCAGCCAATGCTCTCTCACCCACACCTCTCTCTTTACCTCACTGTTACATCCCCGGCCCTACTGTAAGATCCAGAGCCCCGCCATTTTGCGCAGGGTCAGGGTAAGGAGATGGCATGGCACATGAGATGTTAAAAACTTGAGGAGCCACTCACCCCCAACATAGCCTTTTTTACTCTTTCATTCTTCACTAATCCCGCCTTGAAGAGATTATCAACCAGTTCCGCATTGGTTGAGCCAGAGCAATACCACGCCATAGAGATGCACTTCGTGGTGGCCTTGCGCAGTACTGGGTGTGCATTTAGATAACTCTGGATCATGCGAGGGAGCTATGCTCTACCTAACATAAGAGGAAGGCGATCCAGGGAAACTTAGTATTTAGATAAGATAAAGCGACGATTATCGCAAGAAGACCCTGGGGCTTGCAGGCAGGCTATACCGTCGTCTTATGCTGCTTAACGCCCAGTTTATTATTCAAGGTCCGTACTGGGCTCGTCAGAATATCATTTAGAAGAGGCTCGGACTCTTCACTTCGACCTTAAAAAGGAATTGTGGCTACTACCGCCCAGTATGACGCCATTCTAACATCGATGGTCACGTGCGGAGTCTGTCCAGTAATATCTCACCGCCTTTGACTCGTAGCAAGGTTGACTCTTTATTGTTATTTCCCGACCCAACTAAAGTGACATTACCACGGTTCAGAGAACTTGAATGATTTCGTTAAGAACCACAAGATTGCATAACAATAATGCACAATGGAAGCAGGCTCCGATATTCAGTCTGATGTAGACCTATTAATATTGGACTACCTACTTTGCACCTCTATATACAGATTGGTATACACCAGCGGAGTGGAGCAGCCCAACGAATGCAACCTCGATTGGCATATTCATACAATACACGGTATGTCTCAAAATAGTTTAACATGTCATTTCAAGGGACACGTTGACTTACTTTTGATTAATCTTTAGCTTTTGAGTCAGTTCTTCCACACTCTGGACTACTTCCTGATGACATTCGAGTCAAGGTCCAATTATTTAAATTTGCCAATGCCCTCCGATGTTATCCAGATACACGTAATACTTCTCAAGCTCGCGAATCCCGATTAAGTTCTAGTAGATATTGGCCAGAAGAAAAATCAATTTCGCTTTCTGAGTTGGCGGGGGCCTTCATCACTCTCTGCTACATTATTGGTGCCAGGCTATCAGAAGCGACGTGGGCTGATACTGCAGCACAATTTGTCATGCAGGCTGCAGTCGAAGAGTACCAAAAGTCCGAGTCCTCGGCTTCTCTCAGCAAGCATATCACCTGGGCCAAGAACATCTCAGATCAGATGGCAAGCAAGAACAAAGCGTTTACAGACTGCATGAGCTATCTTCAGCCACCAGATGGGACATCTGTCAATGTTCACATGCGTACTGTTTCCGCGAAGTTCCCCATTAATAAGTTTAAGTGTGCGGTTTTCGACACGTTGGTTAAAATCATGAAGGTCCTTGAACCACCTGTACTGATTCAGCTCGAACGTGGGCAGCTCTGGGGGTTGAGCCGCGCAGAGACGAAGCAATTGAAGGATAGGGTAGGGCTCGAATAACAAAACCCCCACCAAGCCATGCACACTAGTGAAAGCGGGTCCTTGGTTTGAAAAGGTACGGTAAAAACAGCGGGGCAAAAGTCCTACGACCTAGGAAAGCTACAATGCTTAAGGTTACTTGATTAACATGGAATTGATAATATATATCTTGCACACAAGGTGGTTAATCTACAAAATAAACATCTAAGCCACGGGGCAGGTGTTGGGAGTAGAAGCATAGTTAGCAGAGCTATTGGGCGAATGAGCAGAGCACAGACGCTTAGCCGAGAAGCATGCGGCGAGGATCTTCAATGTACTCCTTGACCTGCATTGAATTGCGCTTAGTGATGCGTTCAAAAGCCTCAATTTGAGGGGTAGGGAACAAACCTTGACAAGGAAAGTAACAGCCTCCCGGCCATCCAAAAGGCGATGGTCATAAGTCAGAGCAAGATACATCATCTATCAGAGCATCAGTAACCAAAGTCCACGGGCAGAGGCAAAGTGAGGGGGTCGCAAAGGAGACATACAGGGCGTATCTCGATTTTGCCATTCACAGCAACTGGTTTTTCTTTAATAGCGTGGAGACCAAGAACAGCTTTCGATAGTTAGATGAGCTCCTCAAACAAAGAGCGCTGTTAAACATACCTGTCTGTGGTAGGTTGATGATCGGTGTACCCATGAGGGATCCAAAGACGCCACCCTATATCAAAGTTAACACAAACACACAATGCCAGGCGCGTGCATGTACTCACGTTACTAATGGTGAAAGAACCCCCCGCCATGTCCTCAATGGTCAGCTTATTGTCACGAGCCTGCCGAATTCGATGGTCAGAAAAGCCACGGAACAAAAATGAAAGTCTGCTGCAACTTACCTTCTTTCCGAGGTCCGCAATGGCCTTTTCAATACCAACAAGATCCATGGTTTCGGCGTTGCGCACCACTGGTGTTACGAGGCCCTTCTCAGTAGCGACAGCGACACTTATATCGACATAATCACGGTAGACAATAGTATCGCCACCATTGGGCCCCTCAATCGACGCATTAACAGCCGGGATGTCTTTCATAGCTAGTACGCAAGCACGAGAAAACGCGCTCATGAAGCCGAGCTTAACACCGGTCTTTTTAAGCACATCGTCCTTGTATAACTTCCGAAGGTCCATGAGAGAAGACATATCCACCTCATTGAACGTAGTCAGGGAAGCAGCCGTGTTCTGAGATTGCTTCAAACGCTCAGCTATCCTCAGTCTCATTCTATTCATTTTCACCTAATAGTCGATCAGCCTAAGACCAGAAGAAGACGAACAGAAACAGACAAGGATACGGTACGAAAAGAGAACATACCCTTCGCTCTTCGCGATTTCCAGGGCCGGGCTTAGCATCATCGCTAATTTCTGGCTTAGAGGCAGCGGGCTGTGGCTGCTTGGAAGGTCCAGGCTCAGGTACGGAAGGCTTTTCAGAAGCTGGAGAAGCCTTTGCGGCCTTGGACTGTTCTGGCTCGGGGGCTTTAGGTTCTTCTGTAGGTGCGGGCTCCTTTGGCTTCTCGGTTCCCTCCTCCGTTTTGGTCTCAGGTGCACCTCCCAGCTCTAACTTTGCCAGCTCCTGTCCGACAGTGACGGTGTCTTCCTCGTTTACGAGAAGCTCTTTGATGGTTCCCGCTTCAGGAGCATTTACCGACACATCGATCTAAAACGAGCGGGCGTCAACAGAAAAATCTCTCTTTGCGCATTAAGATGTAGGTCTCGTTTACCTTATCGGTCTCGATTGTCGCTATTTCCTCGTCTCTCTCAACATAATCTCCGACCTCTTTTGCAAGAGTGAGCGCAAGCTAGTAAGGAAGTATTGGCGAACATACGTTTGGAGAACTGTTTCAAAGTACCCTCGGTGATAGACTCTGCCATTTGAGGAACCTTAACTATGGTGTCCGCTGAAAAAGTTGTTAGTGCGAGATTCCGAAAGAAATAGAGACCATATTACCGTAAGTGCGAATCTGATAGCCCCCAAGGGGAGCGAAACTAGAGCGAAAAACATTGGCCCTGCAGGATTGTAAGCTGGTTTGTAAAGATGAAATGAGTGGGCGACTTTACCCCAGAACCAGTGGTACACCAGAAGCAGGCCGGCTAGAGTTCCTGACACAGTTGCGGAGCGCAGCTGAGGTAAGGTTCCTGCGGGTGCCCAAGCTGATGTTACGAGAGCTTTGGGCAAATCGAGGTATGACCCGCAGATTTTGTTCGGGGAGACGGTGAAGAGGTAAGCGAAAAGCCATGATGACCTAGATTTGGAGGAAGTTGGGCAAGACAATAATGGAGTTCGCCAATTGAGGGAATCAATGCAGAGAATTAAGTCGTAAATGTTAGAAATGTGCAAGTATGGATAGGGAGAGTACGGATTTCTTTTTTCTTCGTTTTTCTCCCCCAGAACTTGCTAGAGCTAAGGGTTCATCTACCTACAAGTAGGGATAAAGTGAGTGACGAAACTTAAGCGGCCAAAGGGTGCGACTAGAGCAAGGCCGGGCCGAGACAACCGGAATTTCCCTCAAAGCGGCCCTCCAATCCTTGTGACCGGCAAATGAACGGAGTATTATTATTACGCTTCTTCGGCAATCCATAAGCACCATCTGGGAAGTTTCCGCATTTAGGACTTTACCGGGAGAAAGACGAAGCTAAACTTGTGTAGCAAACCGGGTGAGCATCGAAGCACACTGCATCAATATTCGGTGGAAAGACTCTTTCCAGCTCAGACGGATCCCTTTCCAGCTATACTGACCAGCTTTAAGTCTTTCAATTCCCCATTGCGTGACACACCATGGCCCTTCACCCTGTTGCGTAAGTTGGTCGCGGTTGAAGCAATGATCATGAGGGAGCCATATTAAACCTACCTCGCAGGTCGCTTTATCGACGTTCCCTAAAGCTTGCTCTTGACTGGGCTGTGCACAGACAGATATGGCGCGGGCAAGCAGTGTATATACGGTCCCTTTTCGATGCGAATAAGAATGTCCGCGACCCGCGTCAACAGAAGGTATATGCGGCTCGGTTTTCTCAGTTACATGGTTTTTACATACAGTAACTCACAAACTAGCAGGTGCTGCTGCGGGAAACTGAAAAGCTATTAGAAACTTGGAAACACCCGGACCCGTACCGAGCACCCACTGCCCCGGGAGGTATGTATAATTTAAATCACAAAGCCTGCTCCTTCTATATGAATCGAATGACTGACTTTCCTAAAGGTAACAAATATGAAAGGAATCTACCTGCTCGTCAATTACCTTGTATGTCAACCATGGTGATGTCCACCCAATATTTTAGCCCACTAATATTGAATCAGATGCTTCGGGCAGCCACTAGAGAGAAGATACAAGGAGGTTGTGATAGGTGTACTTTTCAGATAGAAAATGGAAATCATAAATATAACACCACTACCAATATAGCAATCAGCACACAAGTTTGAGATTATTTGGTTGCAGAAAGCCGAGGTTCTACGTTGGAAACCAAGATACTCGTGGATTACATAGTATGTCGGATCAAAATGCATAACTTATCATTGGGGACATGCGTATCCCTTAAAGCTAATGTGTCGAAAGCTCATGTCCTTTGAAAGCTGCCGGTATCATTCCATGTCCGTAGACATAATGTACAACCATAAAATTAAATCAGAAAAAACGCAGAGCCATAAACGTGCCCAGTCCAGAACCCCGTTATCACATCAATAAGAGAACCAAACCACGCCGAATGAGAAAACCCAAATAAAAACAAATAATTCACAGCTCCTGGCTAGGACCCTTTCCGCTCTTAGGGGTCTTCTTGGGAAGAAGGTCTAGTTACATGTTAGAATCAATCCAATACTGGGGTACCCGGTACGCTTACTTTGGTGGATGTTGGGCAGAACACCGCCCTGGGCGATGGTGACGTGACCAAGCAGCTTGTTCAACTCCTCATCGTTACGAATGGCGAGCTGGAGATGGCGGGGGATAATACGGGTCTTCTTGTTATCACGGGCAGCATTGCCGGCCAACTCAAGAATTTCGGCAGCGAGATACTCCAGGACGGCCGCGAGGTAAACAGGTGCGCCTGTGGCGTGTAAGTATAGATACGGTATGGGGTGTGAGAGTGGACTCACCAGCACCAACACGCTGAGCGTAGTTGCCCTTGCGGAGCAAACGGTGAACACGTCCGACAGGGAACGCGAGACCAGCCTTAGACGAACGGCTACAAATATATATTAGTTGGAATGATTGACGCGATGACAGAATTCATTCATACGATTGCGCGTTCTTGCTGCCGCTGGCTTTGCCTCCAGACTTGCCTCCAGTCATTTTTGCGATTGAAAATGGTTCGACGAAGTTTAAAGATGTAAATAGAAGAGGTTATTTAAGGTCGTCGATGAAATGCGGTGGCAATGATTTGGGTACGGTGTCAAAAGCAAATGGCCAGCGCGAGGAAGCGGCGGACATTTATAACGACGCGGTGAGGGTGACGTTGGGCCGCCTAGACGCCCTTCAGATCACCCTCTCGCTTAGCGGGGTTGGCCAATCACAGCGGAGATCATCATCGGAGGCACCCATAGCTTGGCCAGATGCGCCTGCCATGATTCTGTGTGTAGTTGTTATGGTATCGTTCCCAATATGGTTAAGCGCTGTAATTTATGGATATATCTTTCAATACTGTCATATTGGCGTGATCTTAGTCAGTTATCCACGGCTGGAGACGCGTTTCCCCTCATCTAATCATACAGATCATACACACCTGTGACGGTATTGAAATTCTGCTTCCTTTGCGCACCCAGGATCAACTGCACTTTCGCGGGCTAGTATAAGTAGCGCGCCTCCCTCGTCACCGCGTCTCCATCATTTCTGTTCTCCTCCTCATTCCACGTCTACATTTATCAACGATTCCAACGCCTGCGCTTTCGCCATTCTTTGATAATATCGACTTTTAGTTTTTAACAAATTTTATTTCCTGATTCACTTGAACAAAATGGCACCCAAAGCTGCTGAAAAGAAGCCCAGCACTGGCGGCAAGGCCCCGGCTGGCGGCAAGGCCCCCGCTGAGAAGAAGGAAGCTGGCAAGAAGACTGCGGCTGCTACCTCTGGTGACAAGAAGAAGCGCGGAAAGACCAGGAAGGAGACCTACTCTTCTTACATCTACAAGGGTATGTGGTAGCGTTGTCCTAGTTCTGAGGTCAAAGCTAACGCCAAGTATAGTCCTGAAGCAGGTTCATCCGGATACTGGAATTTCCACCCGTGCCATGTCTATTCTGAACTCCTTTGTCAACGGTATTTCATCCTCTGGGTTAGTGAGCGAGTAGTTCTCTAATCTGCCTGCAGACATCTTCGAGCGTGTCGCAACCGAGGCCTCCAAACTGGCCGCTTATAACAAGAAGTCCACTATCTCGTCAAGGGAGATTCAGACCTCGTATGTCATATCAATATTGATTCAACACTATTCGGCTAACTCTTTCTCCAGTGTCAGACTTATCCTGCCTGGTGAACTGGCGAAGCATGCCGTGTCGGAAGGCACCAAGGCCGTGACGAAGTACTCCTCTTCTGCCAAATAAGCTGTTTTCTTTTTTGTTGTTTGTTTCTTTTATGCAGGATTGTCTTTTACTACCTCGTTATCTGTTATGGTTTGAGGTGGTTGGTACAGGGTGTTCGCGGGATTTTTAATGCGTCACGGGATGGCTTTGTTTTTCCCCATTGGGCCAAATGTTTTTCATGGTTTTATTTGAGACGTGGATGCGTTGTAACATAACTCGGTGCTCCTGGGTATGGTTGCGCAGTAGCAACTTTCAAACTAGGGTTCGAAATTTGAATTACTCTGACACATTCTGTTCTTCACTGTTTTGAAGCTAAAAGAGTGGCGCCTCCATTATAGCGGGCGTTTGGTTCTATCTATTCGGCGTCATCCAGTACCTCAACTTCATCGAGTGCCTCCCTTCTGCCTTGGTTGTAGGTAGTTTCCACTCCTTTGAACACATGTATGATTCTCTTCCCCGCTATTGAGCCTATACGCCCCTTCCAATCCTCCCAATCATCTTCGTTCTTCACAAGGAATCCTATTAACATACTTGGGTCCATATCTTGTATATGAATGCGTCTGAGTCGGCGAGTGTGGTAGGTACTGGTTTCCTCTTTGGAGAGGAATCTACCATCAATGCTGTATGGGAGTGCGGGGCGCGTGGTATGGGGATCAAGATAGAAGAGATGCGAGCCTTGCGTGCCGATGAAGTAATGAGACGCGGAAGGACGACCTCTGGTGCATGTCAGGGGTATCAGTATGCTTCGGTTGCTAGCTATGGTCAGGCGCTGGTGGTGTAGACATACCCTGCGATACCTATTGATTGTGGCAATTGCAAAACGGCTTTGAGTCCATCCCAGTACACTGGCGTGACGTTGTCAATTCCCAGCCGAGTCCCTAGAAGTATCAATGTGGGTTGAATACTACCCGAGCCATTGCGAGCCACACGCAGGAAACTATCTTCGTAGACGTCTGAGGTATCGTTTGTGACATATACTCTAGGTGCTATATTCCCACATTGTGCTGAGAGCGCCCTGTTTACTGGTAAGTCTCATGCTCTGGGGGGCGTAGTGGTATTGGGCGCATACTCTATACATCTAGCGGTTGCTGACGGCCCGAACCACTCCCCGGGGAATTTACCGCATGACTCGGCGCCATGTTTAACGAATCGATGTATCGAGAGGGGTGCATCGGGGTGATCAGCAAACAGAGATAGTAGGTGGGCCTCTTCTTCTGCTTTGTCCCCACGGCGCCAGGCTAGGATGTGTTAGCATGGTGACTACATGAAACAAGAGGGTTGTATCGGAGGTATTATGTGTATATGTAAGGTTAAGGGAGTGCCATACCACGACCTAGGCACAATGTAAGCATTGCATTTGCTAGCAAACTCTGCCCGGATCTAATCATGCAACCCCATCCTGTGTCTGAGGTGAAGCCTTGCGGGTCCATTAGCTGGGTTCTCAGGCGTACAGTTAGCGTCATCGAATGATTCGCTTCGTCGTTGTCCGGTCTTGGTATTGGGGGGAAATCAGATCGATACGTCATCCAGATCTTCGACTCGAAGTCCGAGACGAATGCCTCTGGCCAGCCATATGCCGTTACATCGTCTATTGTGCTTGTTCCAGTGTCAAGTTCATCCCGCTCTATTCGCTCACATATATCAGTGACCTTCCGCCCTTGTGAATAATAATGGTAAAACGGTTCCCTGGCTTACCGGAAGTTTTGTTTGCTGTAGGTTTTGGAAGCTGCGAGGCATACTCTACTCCCAGGCACCAAATAGAGGCATCTGGCTCTTCATCATTCTTGGGCTCGGGATCCCATAGATATTGTACGATGCGTTTTCTGCACCGCCCTATATCTACACTGTTCATTTTTAGGTGTAGTCAGTGTGTGTCTGGGTGTTTGGTTGTTCGATGACATTCACTGGCAGGTTATGGTTAGCTGGGTGGTGAAGTACGGTTGGTTAAATACATACATATATATGTGAGAGTAAATTATATATACATGCACTGGGACATATGTATATACGACTAGCTCCCAGTTCAAGGCGGCAGCATAAAACAACCCCAAAGCAAACACAACAGAAAATATCAGATAAGAAAAGTATCGCACTTGAACAATAATTATTGGCGACAGTTACCCAAAGAAACCTCTATCCTATGATGGGCCGAGGAGGGGCCATAATTGCACCAGTCACGAGATACCTACACATACTATTTTACCTCCTATATCAAGTCATGTAAACGTCATTGCTTCACCATAATAAACACATGTACATGCTGGTTTGAGGCGCTGCACTCGCCCATGGGACATCGAAAGACTAATCATGCCCGAATCTTTTATTATTATTTGATATATTACTCCGTACTCTTATTACCTTTGTTGTTTCTTCACTCCCCCAAAAGCGGGGCGTCAAGGGTACCCCAGTACTTAGTAAGCTCTGAGTGACTAAGTCCCATCAGAAACTAAATCAACAATAATCGGCGACCAGCCCGCCACGGACATAGTTAAAATACACCCGCTTATTAAGTGCCCAAGACTTTATGAACCAATTGTACCCAAGTTCAGAGAAGAACGTCGGCATATCTAGAGCCAACCAAATACTAAAGACTATTCGAAATGACTCGTCACAGTAAGGCGAAAGCGCGGATCAAGAGGCAGAAGCCGACGATGAAGTCCAGTACAGGTATTGTTACAGGAATAATCAGCGTTAGGTTATTTATTAGCTGACTGCTTGAAGACCACCAACCAGAATACTTGACGATGCAGCAAGAAGCAAGGAACACAGAAGGCCGTAATTTGTGGCGTACTGGCTCCAATTTGCGCCACCAAGGAGTCCGTTTTGTGAGCGCAGGTAACTCCCAGCGAAATGAAAACATCGGGGGAGAGGCTCGTGAAGGAGACGCCCCCTGGCCAGAAGAAAACAATAAGCAACCGCTCACAACGAGGGTTGAGTCGAAGGAGGATGCACAAGGGTTGAAAAACGAACGCGCAAAGCGCAACGCGTCATTCTTCGTCGACCTATCAGGCGAAAGTGGTGCACACACTGGGCTTGCAGACCCCGTTACCACAGTCTCATTATCTGAGAGTGGCAACTCCAGCGAAGATGAAATAGTGTTTCATGGGCGGCGTAGATTCGAAGAAAGACCTCGTATCATTGTTGAAGGCCATGCGATGAAGGCTGCTGAAACAAATTACCACTCACCAAAAGAACCCGAATCGCCACCCGAGACAAGGCCACCCGCACCGGGCTATAAGTTGTGTCCGGTATCCGATGGCATATTAACATATGAGCTGCCACATAGAAATCCACGAACAGCGGAGAGTATCGAGCAGACGAAGACTGTGATGCAATACGCGGGGAAAGTTACCCAGGAGGTATCGGAAAATGAAGATGACGATATACTAGCTGACTATATAGCAAATATGGCCGAACATTACTACGCCGACCTGCATAGCTCACTAGCTGGTGATATGACGCATGAGCCCGAGCATGGGGTAGAGATGCCGCCGCAAAACTCTACGATCCATGCGCCCATGGGCGATTCTATTCGTCGTTCCGGCAAAGGGGAATATTCGCGTAGGGATATCTTATCGGAACGTAAGCGCAAAATGATTCCGCCGTCAAAGTTCATGCTGAAATTAATAGATGGCGAGAGTGAAGTGAATTTTACCAACGATGCAGGATCGTACGCGCTCGACGATGCTGCCTCGGCGAGTAACCATGATCTACACAGCTCTCAAGTCAACGACTCCGACGAAGGGGACACTCTTGATACTGACCTAGACATCGAGAGACTTCAGGCACTGGAGTGCGAAGTGCAAGGACGCACCGCCCTTCCCCAACAGAACCGCAAAGACTCACAATGCGGTATATTCGCCTCGGCCACTGCCTTCGCCGACGCATTGGAAATTGACCCCTACTACGGCTTAGATATCATGGATTTCAACAGGCCAAGTCTTCGGAAAAAGCAAAGAGGAAAGCATCGCAATCCAGACTTGGTCCTATCGGACAGTGAACTGGAATTGGAACTGGAGAACGCCTGGCGGAATGACCGAGAGAAGAAGAAGGCCCGAAAGCAGAAACGAGAAGAACTTCGCTCTCAAGGTCTCCTAGGTCGAGGGGCACATGACCCAGATCTGAGAAACAAATATACAAACGGCATGGGGTTTAGTGATTTGAAGACGGAGATACGCATTTTCCTACTGTCGTCAAGAACCAGGTATGTTTTTTGCTCAATTAACTCAGCAATTAGTGCTTACTGATTAACCTGCGCGTCTAGTTTGGCTCTTCCGCCTATGACGAAGCATCGTAGGAAACTGATTCATGATCTAGCAAATGCGCTGTCTTTAAATTCACAATCACGAGGCAAGGGGTCCTCTAGATTTCCTATACTGCACAAGACTTCCCGGACTCCGAGGTACACGCAAAAGACCATTTCCTATATCGACCAGATATTCTCAAAAGGAAGGTTTAACCACGCAGCCACCAAATCATGGGATCATAAGATTACAAAGTCTGCTAAATCACCTCGTGGTCGCCCAAATAGTTCTGTCTCATACATGGATGGAGATATTGTCGGCGCATCTGCCCCGGAGATTGGAGCAGGAAACAAAGGAAGAGCAATACTGGAAAGAATGGGTTGGAGTACGGGAACAGCTCTTGGTGCTACTAACAATAAGGGTATCCTGTTACCAGTCGCGCATGTTGTGAAAAATACCAAGGCTGGCCTAGGGTAGGCTTACCTCGTCGAGTAATAAGTGTGGCCTCACATCAAAGTATATCCGTACCGCTTCTAGCAATGTATGCTAACTGTACATGTCCAAAAAAAAAATCAAACATGTCTGGGTTTTGGACGGCACAATGATGCCCCTAGTGTACCTGATCCCGACCATAGAAGCCTGCAAAGGTAATGAAACTTTGGCACGGATGAGGAAGGCAACAAGCAAGCTTCTTTGCTTTGTCTATTGCCTCTCTTTTTGCGTATCGGCCATGGATGAGTGTTGAGCGTGACCAAACTCGTGGATATGAATAAACAATTGAGACCTTGAGGGAAAAATAGCGTAGCAAGTGGCACATTTAATATTCTGGGGTTGGTTCATTGCACGCTGGGCCTTTTTCGCACGTTTTTGCTTAACCTTTCCCATTTTTGGTGGAAGATATTGCGAGTCCTCTATTTCAGTTGTTGAGAACTGCTGCGACAGGTTATCTAGTGATTCCACCTCTGCCGTTTGTTGGTTTAGCGTGGTATGGCAACCTAATCGCTGTTCAACACACTCCCTAGGTACATAATCGGCCCCGCTGAGATCTGGTATAGAGCTTCCATGGCCACCTGTGTCCGCCGAAGAACCTTCATCGGGTTTAATATCAACTCTAGTATTAGAAGAGGTATATTTGGCTGTTCCGGTACTGCTTCTTGTCGCGTTATCCCGTGGTTGTTGGGCTGATGACGCCATATTGTGCGCTGGGCCGTCCTGTAGATTTTTATGGGCAGAATTATCCCATTGGGGCTCTTCGGGGTTAGAGACGTTTCCTTTCAGCCCCAGCTCTTCATTCTGTGCTCTCATCTCCCAGCGTAGCTGCTTCACAGCTTTTATATGCTTCTTGCTGCGTTCGTGGGCCTCGAATTGATTATGACTTTTAAAGGTTTTGTGACATGCAACGCACTCAAAGTACTCAACCTCGTCCTCGTTTGTATCGCTGGATTCCTCACCCGGACTTTCCGCTTTTGCCCAATCTTGTATAACATGATCACGCAGTTTCGCCTGATTTGCTGCTCGTGATCTGGCTGCCTGTGCAGCTGTTGATTGACGAAGAATTTCCTGCCGCTGTGATTCACTATATGCGTTAGACTTGTACCGGGGATCGCGCTTCTTCACAAAAGCCACAAGCGACCTAACAGCCTCGTTGAATTCCCGAATGGCATCTTCCCTGAGACGCTTGTTTTCCTTCTCCATCAGTCTGCGAACGCGACGATCTGGTGCTTCAGAGTAACGGTACACATCTTTCCAGGCGAAGGACTTTTTCGTAGAAAAACTACCCCAGGCAGCATAGAATGGACGTACAACCTCTTCAGGGTCGGCGTTGCAGCTTCCAAATGTAGGATACTTTATGCACGCAGCATTCTCCCAGCGGCAGGCCATTGTCTCCTCTAGGGCAAGCCGTGCAAATGTTTCACGCAAGGCACCGTAAAATCCGGTTGGCGCGTCTGTAAATTCCATCCGAGGACTGAATTTTGAGAACAATTTTAGGATGTCGTCGGAGGTTGTCATCCGCGTATTGTATGAATAATCGGCCCCCTCTGGCTTGCCATCGTTTCCTAGGAAAACATCACGGTGCGAGTCATACCACGCACGCTCCTGAGCGTCTGAGAGGACTTCGTATGCAGATTGAATTTCGGCGAACAGCCTGGTAGCAGCCTCCACATTGCCATAGTTTCTATCCGGGTGTAGCTCCAGAGCCCTTCTTCTGTAGGCCTTTTTTATCCTGACATAGCATATCAATTAAACATCCCCCCAGTACATACTGTCTGATATACTTGAACTTACTCCTCGCCAGATGCATTTCGTTCGACCTGGAGCAGCTCGTAGTAATCTACCTTCTTCTCCTCTGGTTGATTTGTGTCTGAGCCTGCTCCATCGTGGCTGTTCGAGTGCGTCTGTCCCATGGATGATTGACCACAGCAGGATATGGTGTTAAATTCGGAGTGAGGGGCATGGGACAGTGACGGATTGCGGGAATTACGACCTTGTCTAGGTTTATCATGTGTGGTCTAAGGAAAGTGGCGGGGCGGCTATATTTATATAAAGTGTGCGTGCGCGTGTGCGCGCATATCTCTCACAAACCATCCCCTATTTAGAGCTATGCTTGATTGCAGACTAGATGATCTATAGACAGGGGAAAATTGCCTACACGTGAATGTAAATCCCGAGAGGATATAGGCGTGAGCCCTATAATCAACAGATTGAACAAAGCGCCCATATGCATACCTTCGTTTTCAGCCAAGGCCAATGGTAGCCCCCTCCTAGCGGAATTCAATCTTGATTAAATGCTACTCCATACTCCGTACTCAGTACGTACCCATAACCCACCTTTCCCCACCCCCAGGGGTTAAGCTCACATCGATTCAATTCCGGTTGATACATTCCAGCGGGATGGTGTTATCTCTCGACAATCTTCCTGAAGAGATACTCCACACTATCCTATGCTACTGCCGCCCCTGCTCCGCGGCTGCTTTACAGCAGACAGCCCATCGATTCGAACATTCTACCAACGAGCCTTTACTGTGGCGGTTTTACTGCCAAGCGTATTTTAAGTACTGGGACAGCAAACATGATATACTACAAAAATTGTCGGCTCCCGTCTGCGCAGTAGACTGGAAGGCCTTATACGTATCTAGACACCTGACCGAATGCACTGCTAGCCATCTCCTAGATAGTATCCTTGCGGGACAAACGGGGAGAATCGAAAAGTTCCGCGCACTTATCGACCTTGGTTACGATGTTAAAGATACACTTATAAGGAATATTTCATCAGAATTAGAGACAGATGACCATCTAGCAAGAAGGTTGGTTTGAATTACCTGTTTTTCCCCGGGCTTCATTGACAGAACTGTGGTGACCACTGAAAGGTATTATGGCAAGGTGCTCCTGACCTGTTTACACCGGAGTATTGCATTACCAGTATGGGCTAGACTAAGGAATGGTGGGAACGTAGCCCTAGAACGAGCACTCGGCGCCTTCGACCTTTTCATACCAGAAAGCGGATATGGAAGTCTTGCCGAAGTACGTACACTTGCTAGAAATGGGCAGTGGCCTTGCTAATCGAGCTCTAGATAACTAACAAGCTGGATGAAATCGTTGGACGACTTTCCTCGTTATACCCTAGCATAAATATGTTCACACCTCGCGATAAGGCGAGGACTATTGCAGTATATTTGAAGTCAAACAACCTGACGGGTATTCAACCGGATAGGGAGTACCACTGCTTAGAGCACAATTTCCTGGGTGTTGCACTGAATGACCCAAACCATAATTCGCTTCCCCTAGTGTCTGCGGCTATATATTGCTACGTTGCCCAGAGGTTTGGTCTAAATGCCCGACCTTGTGGGTTCCCTTTCCATGTCCATGTTATTGTCAAACCTCCACTGGGGCTCGATGTAGATGGCAATGTGCTAGGGCCGGGAGTTTATGGAGATCCTATTTATATGGACCCATTTCGCTCGGATAGAGAGACTCCAGTCACGAATCTACAACGCCAGCTGAACTATCTGGGAGCATCTAGTGTCGAGCAGTCAACCTTTCTAGATGAATCTCGGACCTCGGAGATCGTTTTAAGGTGCAGCAAGAATATACTGAATTCGGTCCAGCGCATGTCTCAGTATCCAGATGTGCATTTGGAGCCAGTGGATACTGTTAGTGCGAAGTATGCTGCCCTTTGGTCGACGATGCTTCTTTCTGACCCCTCTCGACCCGCCGAGTTTCGACACCACCTACCTTGGCTGATGGAGTTATTTGCTACGGAATTTCCATCCGATATATACCTTGTCGAACAGTATGTAGTCCCAATCTTTCGTGGGTTGCTCGAATATGAGCATATCCTAGAGAGTCTCCACGTCATGCGGGCCGTGGACGAGATTCCAAAGCAGGTGAAGAGACGTTATCCTGGTCGATGCGACGTGAAGTACCGCATCGGTCAGGTTTTCCGACATCGTCGGTATAGCTACATAGCTATCATAACTGGTTGGGACACTGAATGCGATGCAGGCGAGCAGTGGATGAGGAGGATGGGGATTGATCGTTTGCAGGGGGGGAGGCATCAAAGCTTCTACCACGTTCTGTATGTTTAATTACGATTGGCGATGTGCTGCCAGGCTGACCCATACTCCAGTGTCCAGGATAGAAGTGTGCGATATGTAGCAGAGGAGAATATCGAGCTTCTGGTCTCTAATATCTCTGATCTGCCTACAACCCTTACTGCAATCGCAGGGAAGCATTTCAAGCGATGGGACGAAGAAACTCAATCCTTTGTGAGCAACATCAAAGACGAGTATCCGGATGATTAAAGGATCTTGACAACATGGGTTTGAGGGGCTGTGCCTTTATCCTCTAGTGGGCCATTACAGTACGGCCGCGAATGTCTGTCATCATGCTCTGATACGGATGCTTCGAATTCTTATATATCAGCAATGAATCTACTGACTATAGTTGTCTCTTTGTAGTATACAAACCGTGTAGGGGTTATATACATTGTAGAGAAGGCCCTCGGATATGACGGTTACAGAAATAATACATAAGGAGGCTGAAAGTTGTCATTCTCACATAGCAAAGGACCTGCTAGAGTCCCCCCTGTGTGGGCTCATGTGTACCCGGGGGGGAGGGGGGGTATATCCATATTGGTTGTTGGCTTAGACTTAGGAACTTCAAACCTCGACTGAAGAACGCAAGCTGCCGTTGCAGAAGCCGTAGATATATTCAGCTGATTAGCTACTTGCTACGGTGGTTCACTACACTTAACACCTCCTGTGTTATCTGTAACTGCTGTGGATAACAGGTCAAGCCTAGTAGAATTAGTATCTTTACTGCTTGCTCAGAGTGCTCTATATAAATTGCAATCCTACCCTTGCCACACTTCCTATCTCGATCTTCTCTACTAGGGTAGTATAACGAGCTAGCCCAGTTAGACAAAACCAGTTATCTGTACTCGCCTCCTCTACCTCACCCCCAAACTCTTTTCTTTTCATATCACATCGCTACTGAGCCAGACTTACTGTTTGCTAGCAAAGGTAGAGGGAGGGGAGAAAGATAGTCAGGATAATGTAAGATGGTGGATAAGTATTACGTTTGAAGCACTGGCCTCTCCCAGTTTATTGCTTCTTTTACATGATACCCAAACACAAGGCGATAAAGGTCGCATAGCCAAGGTAACTTTCCACGTTGCATCGTTTCTTGGACAGCCCTTGATATATCCACTGCACTCGCCTGGGCCTGCGGGCCAGCATTTTGGAACACTGGGTCAAATCCAACGAATCTTTTGTAATTTTCAAGAAGGGACATTTGCCAGGGCAACGAGCCGAATGCGTCCGATGAAAGAGATTTAACAAAGGATGATAGACTCTGTGGTCCGTTGCGTTGGTAACCGCTATTCACTGCGGCCTTCGTCACTAAGATCCTGAGACTTGAGGAGTTTGGATCATCAGTCGGAATCATGACCGTGTTGGTCGAAGATGTCTGTTCAGAAGAGTGAGTTTGTGTCGAGTTACTAGACGAATGAGACGACAATTTCACATAGGAGTTGTGAGCTGACGATCTCCGACCTAAAACAAAGATGTTTGGAATTGGCCCTTCGTCGGGAGAAATGGTGGCTGCGTCCTCAAAGATAGTTGTTGGCGTTTCAGGATGTCGATGTGGCTCAGACAACTCGCCTCCGAGGCTGTGCCTGGGTTGGCTGGTCTGCTGCTCAATTTGATTAAATATCGCTTGGCTCGGCCGCGGCGTTCCACGATCAGAATCGCGGAGGCTCCGTTGCGTCCATCCTTCCCGAAATATATCGCAAAGCTCCCAGCAAGCCTGAACAGCATGGCCGAGTAATACCTCGCTCAAACGACCTCCCTCTTTCTTACTCTGGCGTATGCTGAACAACATCTCCGCTAGTGACCAGCATGCGCTTAACAAAGAGTCCATTTCTGTCACTAGGGCTCTTTGCTTCATGAGACGATGACACAGTGTAATATAAAAATCTAATGTCCTCTCCCTAAAGGCGTCGGGCAAATCTCGATCGTGCGTGTTATATAGATGATTGTTAAGTTCGAAGCTGACGCGAAAAACCGAATCTGTCAGTTCATTCTCGTGAACTCGACTGTCAAACAGTGTTTGACAAAAGTTTCGGCAGAGATCAAGTGTAAAGCTGATTTGATAGGTGTAGTTTTCATTCTGGCAGCTGTAAAGTTCCTGGCACAGCCGCCAGCATGATTTCCAGGCCTCTTCTTGCATGCCAGCGCCGATATTGGACCGCTGCCGGTTAATATAGCTTAAACTGGCTAAAGTATTGCAAAGGGACCAACATTCAGCCAAAGCAATCTTCAATGTCTTCAGTTCGGCTTCTCCATCGGAGAAGTTCTCTACGGCCAAGTTGAATGTGCCTGTCTCACCCACTTGCCGGCCGACCTTCTCGGGGCCAGTCCCTTCTGGTATATCTACACTAATCTTAGTGATGGGTCTCGCGATCGTTGCCCCATGGGACAGGCAGGAGGACTACCTTACCCTTAAGATTGCTTGAGTGCGGTCTTTCGTCGATCTCATCATCAAAGTCTCGCATTGTCTGCGCTCGAGGAGTCGCTCGCTCAGACCAGTCTTTCGTAGGCTCAATCGCAGTAGCCAGCGATGGCAGCGATAATGGATGGTTAGAAGATTTCTAACAAGTTTAGTTTACTCAGCGGTGATGTTAAGAGCAATTGGGTACCTTTTCTGTTCCTTCGGAAATAGTTGGAGACGCATGGTGTCTTTCCCTCTCGGAATCTGAGAAAGCGTCTGATTGAAGTGTAGTCATGCCACTAGATGACTCTTGTGTGTATATAATCTACGTTCGGTAAGTTTTAGCAAGGCACTTTGCATGGGTGTCAAAACATATATGCGGGGAACACCCACGAAGTCATTGAAGCCAGGAGGTACATGTATAACAGATTGTGGGGGCTCGTCATCATCATCCTCTTCCAAGCTTCCTCCAACGTTACCGTGGCTTGAGTTTGCTATTCGTATCTGTTATAGAGCTCTTGTTAATCTGCTATTCTCTCTATATTGCTTTCGATGGCTTTCCGCTACCCCTCCATACATACAGCAAATTCTGGTCTACTGATATTGTCAGGCTGCGGTGAATAAGAGGTAATTGTAGACGTGACCGCCAGCCCAGTTTCATTGTCATCAGTGTTTTGAGTTTCAGGTTTTCTTGTCCCAGCGGGCATAGATGACAAGGGAAGGGGGTGAGGATAGCTCATTGATCTGATGTTTGATATAGAAAGATGGCTATCGGTAGACCTGCATTGGTTAACCCATAAGCAAACAATATATCAGACATCACTTACATTCTGATAGTGCTGGGGTTACAGAGTCGATGGATACGAGCCGGGATTCAAAAGCTAGAAGATGGTGAACAAGTAGGTATCATATTGTAGCAGCCCCCGATGTCGAATGATCGACAAGATCACACCAACATATTCTGGGCGGGAGTCTCGATATCAAAGTTGTAGACTTGGTGGAAGTATGATATTCCTATTTATATGGCTGTACCCGCCCTGTGTACTGGTTGCAAAGGCATTCGCCTGCCATTGAATTGTGGGGGAAGCCCCGCGCGCTACTTAAAGGCGTAGGCGTCTGAGTAAATCCTTGTCTGCTACTCGTAGCTCAGACCTCATTCCAGGCATCCCTGCTACTCCTTAAATAAAGCCTTTAGAAACAACAGTAGGGTTGTTAACCTTGAGGGGATGTATTTAGAGATTATACAAAATCAGAGAGTAATACTAGTACTCAATATATAGTTATAACTTATGGGCATTTAGTGGAACCAATAAACTATAGGTATCTATATTATGTATATGATCATATGACCACAACACTATAAGCTACCCGTCTCACCGCCGACCCCCATTTCAGTAAGGGGTCGGCTCCAGCTTAACATCATTCCCAGCTTAATATTACTTTTTTAATATAGCTCAATTAAAATACTATAAACTTAGTATTTTTATATAAATGAAGCTATAAAAGGATCTCTCTATATATTTACAGTATATAGATTTTGAGATACCCTATTTTTCTAGCTTAATAAAACCGGTATTAGAGTACTATTAAATTTCTTATTAAGCTATTTTATAAGAGCTCTATTTTTCTGAGAATATGTTCTAATTATAGAATATTAATAAGTTGTCATATATCAGTGGCAGTTCCGAACACCCACTGCCTTCCGTCGGTGGGTATTCGGCAGCCTAAAGGAATTTTCGGTCTAAAGGAATTTTATTAATTTCCTATTTTTTTGAAGCTATACAAACTATAAAAAATATCTAAAATATTTAAAATTTTAGATTTATACATAGGTAAGACTATTAAAACTATCTATTTTTTTAAAAAAAACTCTAATTTTATAAAAATTATATATAAATTTAATATTTTATATTATATACCCTACAGCTATATCTATAATAGAAGAAAATCTTATATAGTTTAAAATATATTAAATAAAATATTAAATTAGTATGAAGAGATTATTTTAAAATAATAAATTATTAAAATATATACTATTTATTTTCTAGTAATTATATTATTATTTCTAAAATAAATAAATCTTACTATACAGTATAATAATTCTATATAAAATATTAGTTAATTATAAATATATTTTTTTTTAAAAAAAGCTTTTTCTAATTTTAAATTAAGTTCTATAATTTAAAAACTAAAAAAAATATTTAAATATAGAGAATATTAAATAATTGTTATGTGGAAGTAAGTTGCCTTTCATTAGGTTTGCCGTATCGGCGAGGATATATCGCGGAGGGCGGTCAGTAGCTATAGCAGAATAGATATATAATATTAGCCTATTTTCTACTAAAACCAGTACTTTTATAGTTATTAAAGAATAACTATTATAAAATTATAATTATTAAAATTATAAAAAAATATATTATAAAAAAGTATATTATAAAAAATATATATATAATATAAAAGATTTTTAATACTCAAACTAATTCTTATTACTGATAATAGTATATAAATTATCTATAGTATTGTCAGAGACAGTATTATTATTATATTTATTATTAATAGTATTATCAGTATATTTATTATTGGTTTAGTACTTACAAATAGTATTCTTATTATTATTATTATTTTTAAGAGATATAGTCAATATAC